TAAAATATGTGATTATGCCGACCAACTAATCTGGGATATTCTTCCCCACACCCTACAACCCTCAATACTCAACTTTTCCCCTTCTAAAAAATTTTCCCAAAATGAGGAGTCTATGAATCGTTAAAAAACGAAGTCTGAGCAATTTTTTCATTTATTCTGCAGCTCCGCAGCCACAGGATCTATTCTTAAAACCTTAAAAGATTTTCGTCAGTTTGGCAGCAACCTTGTGTGGAAATTTCCTGATTACAATCAGACTTGGGTAGTATTCGAGTACTCGGTATTTTGATTCATATTCAGAATACATTTGGCTGGTATTCGAACACATTTGTGTGTTTGGTATTTTGCTTTCGAATGAAAACTTTTTTGGTCAATACTCGGTATTCTAGATTCTTAATAACATTTGTGAATCCCAGTACCCATTTAGTATCCAAATCCCGGTATTTGAATCCTGTACTGGGATCCTGTTTTCGAAAAATGTTCATACATTTTCTTATCAAGTTTTATTCTATTGATTTTCTATAAAGATCTAATAAAAATCAAAGATTTTTTCATTGCACAATTAATTTGCCTAACCTAACTGTGACGCTGTGTATCAAAATGTTATTTTAAGTTTTAATATAGTGATGTATTTTTGACTTTTTTAATAAATTTTTAAAAGTTAAGTAGATAAATAAAAATCAAGTTTAACGTGCGCGTATGTTTTTTTTTGGGTTGAATATTAAAAAAGTATTCATATTTAAACGAATCCAGGATTCGGATACAATTTAAAATACAGTATTCGGGATACGTATTCGAATACCGGATTTCAGTATTCGAATACTGGATTTCAGTATTTTTTGAAGCAAATGAAGCAATAATTTTGCCCTGAATTTTGCGGACCAGCTTATACTGGTGAATACACTGGCATCAGAATGGAAAAGAATAAGGTTTATTATGCCCGACGTAGGTCTCGTACAGACCAATGCAGCCGGCCGGTTTCGTATCAGTAGCTACGAGATTATTCTGAAACTGTTAATGGAAGCGACTGATGGTAGCTGCATTCTCGATTCTTTCGCGAATACGAAGAAAGTATTCGGTTAAAGTTTATTAGAAATATGGAGTGCAGTGAACAGGGTATTCAATAAAATACCTGGCCAAATATCAAAAGTTACTCCAAGAAGAAAAGTTGATACAAACAACATAGGTACAGCGGTGAAGTCATGCTTCATTTTTTAACATTCTTTACAGAAAGTTCGATTTTTCGTAAAAATCGTAATAACCCTTTAGCAAGTTTTGCATTTTTTTTTGTAATTTAGTAGGTAAAGAAATACTCACGTATCGCAGTAGGTCTAGATTGTATCAAATAAGGAAAACGTCAATAAAAGTCAATCCCCCCAAGGGGGATCGCCAGGACAACTTCTGGTTTTCATTAAGCATTATTCCCAACTGACTTTAATGTTGACGAGACATACAAACTCGCTATTTTCAGCAAATTTAAGAAAATAGGCTAAATGGTAATTATTATGATTATTATTATAACGACGCAAATTGTTTAACAGCCTATATCTAAGTTTCTTCTTAACATCATAGGGAGCATCGCTCCTAGAAATTTGGTCAGGTTCTTGATTAAGTAGATATGCAATATATGGCTTTAAAAGAATACCTCAAAAAATAGGGTCACAGGGTATTTGTTAATATTTTTTATTATCAAAAAAATATGTTCAACTGCATTTAATAATGGTTAGATATCCAAAAGATGCTCGAAATGTATGTACATCAAATGAATGCAATAAAGTGTGCCTATAACAGCTGTTTTCCTTAGCAGAACCTCAACAAGCTCTACTTTTATTAGGCAAAAGGTATTGAGGATTGTCTGTTGAAAAGTAATCTACCAAAAAAGAGCAATGCCTGAGCTGATCTGAATCATTGAATAGAGTGAATGCTATTAGAAAAGAGAGATATTTCCTACAGGGCACAGATGCAGAGGGTAGCACAAACTTTAGAAAATGAGATGAGGCGTTTTTTAAATAAATAGAAACTGAAAATCACATAAATAGTAATTTTAAAGGCAGAAAGAAAACACCATATGGATTAACACACTTTCAGCTCAATCCATGGCAGTATACATGATGTACAAAAACCACTTTAAAATAAGGTGATCTCAAAATAATCTCCAGGTTTAGCAAGGTTCAAACTTTAGAGACTTACCAACCTCAAAAATTATATAAATCACTTAAAATTTATAATATTTATGGTCGCAAAGTATTTAAATTAAAATTAAAACCTTACTCTAGAAGACTTTAGAGTATTTTGAGATTAACTTATTTTTAAGCAATTTCAGCCTTGTTTTTCAGGCTGAAATTAACAAACTCTTGTTTTTGACAGAGTGTACATGGCAGACTACATCAGTATGATGGTATGATAAGTGTGTACATTACACAGGTACAGTTTGATAACTAGTTTATTATATCAATAAGTCAATAATTACCTCTATCCAACTTCAATTAATTAACTCAGCAAATAGGGGCTTCTATCAGTAAAACCATAAAATGTACATTTATCATTAACCATCACTCTAGTTTGACATGTTATACAAGTCTACCATGTTTCTTAATTTATAGAATAAAAGGGGAACAGCATCTTGTAATTAGGGAGTCAATCAATCAATTGATAATTAATGAATGTAAATCTGCAACAAGTGACCAACAATATTATATACAGTCAAATTATATCTACTAATTCCTCAATTACTTGGTATAAGTTTGTCTAGGTTTACCTATACCTATGTCTCAGAAGGAGGAAGGTAGAACTTTTACTTACATTAAAAAATGAGTCTACATAAAGATTGCATCCATTTATGACCATTTTCAACGAAATTATATTGATATGAGCTGTAATGACAAACTTTTTGAACTGCTGCCTATTGACTCAAGCATGATATGTAATTTTTAGGCACATTTGCATTCCAAATGCTATTTGAAAGATCAGCAAGGCCTCAACGAAACTTGTGTAGATAATAGTATAAAGTAAGACCGAAAAAGAAGCAACAAAAATGCTGTTGAAGATGCTTCTATATGTTGTATGAAGTGCCAATCTACCATTGATAAAGTTAACAGTCACAGTAGGTTACTATTACTCTCACATCTTGATGTTTAAAACATTGTTTCAGGAAATATTTCTTTTGCTGCTTGATATAACATAAATAGGTAATATGTATATGAGTATATGATGAACCTTTTTACCTATTTTGTTTCAAGCCTTTAATTAATATTTAACTTGACCTGTTTGTTAGTATGTATATGTGGGATAAATCTTGAAAGTGAATTGTGAAGCAATTAACCTCAACTAATTGAGCTAAAATTTTATTTATACACATTTGATTCCAGTCGCAATACAAAAGTAACTCCATTTTCAATCCAATATGATGGATGTTACAAAATTTCAATTTATCATTTCTGCAATAACAGCTGTAATATGGGTATCAAATGAAAGGGTTTCACAAGTTAAATGCTACCAGCAAGATGATGTCACACTAAATCCAATAAGACTCAAAATGGCAACTTAACAGGGTAACCCCATCGATTTATGTTTATTTGGACCCAAATTACGTCAGTAGAAGTGGTAATGGCAAATTTTCGTCACTGCTGCCTTTTTACCGTTTCGATCAGAGCGTGATCGATCGGAACTTCAGCTGCATACAGGGTACACAATGAGCTGATGCAAATAAAAAGAAAATGACTCAGTGAGAGAGGAATCATCAGCTTTTATCTGCAACCTATGTAGGAGAAGGAAGAATCCAAAATCAAAACAGGACTCAGTTTCCTTGAGCGCAAGAAAGTTATAACCTGAGACAAGGAGTACATCACAAGCAAGTAAACTCCAGCCTAAAATAAACTGCACAAATTATAAAATTAATTATTTCACACAAATGAAAATGAGTTTTTACAACAAACTTAACCTTCAAATATAATTTTTTTTGATGGAAAATATGTTCTCAAGTTTTTAAGTAAAAGCATATTACACCCCTTTTTATCCCTTGTTAAAACATGACATGCTTTATTTAAAAACTGAGAAAAAGAAGAGGAGATGAAAGAGATTCAATATTCTTTAAAAGTTAAGAAGTATAAAACAGTGTATTTACAATAGATAAGAGATCAAATGATTCTAGTATTTTCTAAGAATTATTTTCTCATTTTCTTGGGTATTGTAATAACCTTGAAAAGTGGTAAATGAATAAGCTCCTATAGCCCAGTAACTAGTTTCGCTTCTTATGGTGACTCAAGGATAAAAAAGAACTTGGCTAAAGTTTATCTTAGTAAAGACATGGTATCTTCAAATGCTTAGGAGGCATGATAGCAGAAGATAAGTATGAATAAGTGTTCTACATTTTCACCCTCTAGTATTAAACACAACACATGCACATGTTTTTAGGCCTAATATTTCAAGCACTTAGATTTTATCAACATCTGTGCATGGCACTCTCAACAAAACATTCTGGCAACATACAGTATTACAGATAAGGCCACTGATATAAATAGAAGTTATGTCAAATAATAATTTACTACTTGGGCACGTCTGTCACTGGCGACAATACCCCAAGTCTGGAGGTTCCACAATTGAAAAAACGGATTGTAAACATGGATTACAAATCGTTTTGACGGAATATAGATATCAGTAGGAGAAAAACAAGATTTAATCGGTGTTTTTGATTTCCAAACCACACTGCAAAATAGGTCACTTAACCCAAATTCTCGAGATGTGCAATTTGTTGCCTTGCAACTCATTTGGAAGCTCTTAACAGCGGATGTATAGCGCACACTTGTTAGTTTATTGGCAAAAACAAAACCTAGGCTGAAAATAAACCACGAATGGTTGTTAAAAACGTCTAACCCTCGACAGCTGATTCATCGCTTTTGTAGACGAGGATATTGAAATCACAACTTTTGGTCGAGGATGAAAATGTATGCGTATTTGTGTATGAGTACAAAAAACTACAGGTAGAAAATGATGAATGGACTCACCAGTCGGGTGACGAACGTATCATCCATGTCGTTAGTGGATCTTCTGTTCATGTCGGGCGGGTGTTGGTCGCCGTTTTGCGCGTCGTTACTAGAGTTTTTTGTAAAAATCTTTGAAATTGCACTCCACATTCAAGACCGTTTCGCACCAGGGTTTTCCTTTACCCTCGGACAATATCATTGCCCAGCCTACGCAAGTACGTGTAGTCGGGTCGAACTGGGCTCTATATTACTTGTTTTCTAGATTTTTACAAATTTTACACTTCGCTACGTACTATTATCACGCATTTCGGGTTATAATTTTGCTAATTTTACATTAATTTACTTCCTTTGACAAATACGTTGAATATCTTGTCATAATGAACGGTACGCTACTGGCGCCACTTGTGAAAAGCGGAATGTCAAAGAACTAAGCAGACAAGTTGAGATTGGCTACACTGACGACTATGACGTAGCGGGTGACTTGAAATTTGAGTATACACTGCCCGACAAAAATTACTAATCCGATCCATGCCCCAGGTATAACAAAAAAGAAACTTGTTTTACATGATACAACAGATACAACTAATGTCCAATGCATCCAGTCGAAGTATTCTAATCACGAAAATTTTTGAAAATTAATGTTTTTTTTGATGCATTGATATCTAAATCACAAAAAACATGTTACTCATTTCCGTCGGTCTGTTTGTGCGTCCGCTAATTTTTGGCCTGTCTATAACTTGGAAAGTACCACTCGAATTTTGATGAAGTTTTCACACACAAGTTCGCGTGTGATCGCCACGGTCACCTCCTGCAATCAAACTATATATAGTCAGATGTTGAAACACCCGATGGACAAAAACCGTTATTAAAACATAAAATTCGTACTACGTATCAACAATTCCAATTCGATTATTGTTCAACTACAATGGTAATGCCTCCTTAAATGTAACCCTCGCTGCTACCGTAGTTAATCGGTAGCTGTATATAGGCTGTCCGAATTGGCACTTCAAACTTTTCTTTTTGCTTCCCACGTCAACTGCCGAACAAGCATTGCAATAGCGAAACGTTTCGAAAATGAGATACTGTTTTTTATGCATCTCGAAAAACCATGACACTCGTTTCCCTCGGTCTGTCTGTCTGTCCGCTAATCCTTGGCCCGTCTATAACTTGATAAGAACTGCTCGGATTTTCATGAAATTTTCATACAAGTTTACGGTACTAGGCCGTGTACGAATAAAAGCTTTGTAGTTGTAGAAATCGGTCTAGTGACAGCGTAGAAAAACAAAAAAACGCCTAAACTTCGCTTTTTTACGTTTCAGATGATCCTGATCATTTTGGATAAATTTTTAGGGGTAAACATTGGAAGTGGGTGGTTGTAGGGAGGTGATGAGGGAGGGTGTATGGTAATTCTTTGGCGGTAGTATATTTATAAAAACTTCTAACCCGTAATTATTCTACAAATCTCTATTGTATTAGGTACATTTCACATTGTATACTACCCCGCATTATATTTGCCCAGAGTGAGATAGAAGATGAATATTTGAACATAAAGTGCACTAGCCCCGCTGCTCGTTCTCGGGCGAACGTCGGCGCGACGGATGTTTTACTTGAACAGCTGAGAAGAATAAAAGTCAACGATGCCTCGGCGATGTAACAATTGCTACTAAATACGAGGGCAATATAATTTAGTGAATATAAATTACTAGATAGGGTGACAACATTAGTTAATAGTTATTCAGGTGTGAAATAACTAATAGACGTTTACCCGTCTTTTCGAATATGAAGATATTTTGGAGAGAACAAATCATATCATCATCAAATTATATTCATTATATTACATGAAGGTAAGGTCACAGTCGATCAGTAATAAGCCTACCACAACATTTTCAAAGCCCCTAATTTCATTTTTTGCCAAATCAGCAAAGCTTTTTTAGACTGATGATATTCACTCTACTTTCTACGGCCTTATGTCAGGGTACTAGGTTCTTCATAGCAGGCAACACAATAAAGATACCAGAACCAACAAAACTGGACTCAGATGATGATGTATAAATTAAGTCCGCATTTATCCAGAATTACGGGAAGCACAAGGTCAACCTACTTGAGGCCATTTTTTTGATTAACCATCAACAGAAAATGTACATCAGCATGTGTTATACGCATCCTCCGTCATGATTTTATACTCATACATAATTAAACATTTATATAAATACAAAAAATACTTGACATATATTGATCAATACGAGGTGAATCGAAATAGTTTACTCATATTGAAGAATGAGCAAGATTTGAAACACTTTTATTCTCTTGCTTTGGTACAAAATCCACTAATGGGTATCGTACTGTTAGCCTCAGAAAAAAGTTATTACTCGAAGGATTTTAGAAGTATCTGCATAGAGAATGTAACAAAAGTGCACAGACGACAATCGGTAATACTAAAAGGATCCTTTCAAAAGGACACCTATTTAGATTCGTTCTGCAGTATAAATCATGAAATCATCTTCATCAGATTTTACTTTGAATAATAAAATAACGTGGCTGTCAGTTATAGCAAAATATAGGTCTATGTATGTTTTTGAAAGTAAAAATAGGTAGGTACAAGTTGAATACTATAGAATATATTGATCAGAATTTCTTAAACTTTGTCACGAGATATATCGGTGAGGATAATGCCATTATTTCCCTGTTTCTCCTTCCCCAGAAGACCTGTCTAGCCCAAAGACTTGAAAACAGCAGTCTCTGATTTCAACAATACTCCAGTTGCAGTGTGCATAGAGGGCTCACATGGACATGTAAATACCTGATAATCTTGCGATGTACACAGATAATTTTATACTTTACGTACTTTTATTAAAATATATAACCATACACAAATACAAACATTTACAAAAATGACATATATAAAAAAGGACTTACACAGACTTACAAACTATGGCCAATAGAAACATATACAGAATCAATTGTCAGTTCCACACATTAACACGTCTTTAGTAGCATTCACGCACACTTGAGAATATTTACAAAGTCAAAGTGAAAAAAAATTACAACACCGAATAATACAAATAATATAACCAAAAAGCGATGGTGAAAATGGCTTATTAGTTTCTACATCTTGAAGAATATCGGCTACAGATATGGGCGCCCGCAGGAATTAGTTTCAGGGGGAACGATCTTCTGAGAAAGATAATTTTTGGGGAATATGTACATTTTTGGAAGAGCGGGGGTCAACATATTTTCTTGGAGAGGGGGGTGGCAAATGCTAGAAATCCCCAAAATTGTACACAAAATCATGCTAAATATGCAAATTTGAAGATCCAACTTGATTCTCAGGGGATGTCCGCCCCTGATCTCCACCTGCGGGCGCACATAGCTACAGAACTACATGTATAAGAAAATGTCTCCTACATCTAAAAGAATCACATTTGTTTGACTTATTTACATCATACGTATCTTCTCCACAATTTTATGGTCTTGGTTAAATGAGGATACACAAAAATCTACCTTTTTTTAGTTTTTGGAGCAACGCATAGCTCATTATCAGTAATAACAAGTCACTGTTCACCTGTGATGTTTGAAAACATATTCAGTCTTCGGCGGTTACCTCTATTAGGTGTATCTCGGATATTTTTTGTCATTATAAGTAAATAGATTACTTATTCCTTAATGTTCAATTTCAACCAGCGTAGTGCCTTTCGATTTTTTTGATATTGAAAATCATTTTCTTCTTTTAAATGAACTACCTAGTGACAGCCACAACTCTTCACTACCATTTTCTTATATTTCTTTAGAATCACATTTTGATCGTCCAAGAAATATAATACTGATATGGGTGACAACTTTGTAGGTGCACAACAGGGCTTCGGGAACCTCCAAGGATTCATCAAGTGGACTAAGGTCTGCACGATAGCGTGGTTTGTGGCGTTCATATGTGCATTCAGCGGAAAGTTGCATTCGCCTGTACAGTAATATGCAGCGTATCCATCGGGGGCTATGATCCAGTCCTAAACGTACATTGGAATTTTAATATAAACATTAATATAATGAAATCAGTTGAAAACACTAAAAAGCACTCATACGAGGCTAATCTGAATAGTTCTCGACCTGACATAGGCATATCGCTACAACCAGCGAATTATGTATGACTCATGCAAGGGTGGGCAATGGACAGGTCATTTACTCGTATACCAATCAACTTTTTATCTCAAGTAGTTTGTCGACAAGAATGTTTGATGTGAACGACTTTTGCGTCTTCGTACTTGAATATGATCCACGTGAAGGACGGCCAAAAACCGCAGTCACACCTAAACCCAACGAAAAGGTCCAAGGTATGGTGTTAGACGATAGGCAGGTGAAGGTAGATGAGGTCTCGGGGATGTCGGAAGAAAGGGTGCAAATATGGTTGCCACCCACCCGGTCTCAGCCGGACACGTTTGACTTTTTTGCGACGGGTCCAGCTAAATTTTTATTCGTGCTGCCTGTCCGGATTTTAATAGGCTTTCTGCTCTGCGCGGTATTTGCATAATCACGCGGCACCTGCAGCTTGAAGCGGCGTAGTAGTAGTAGCATAGTAGTGGGTTGCTAGCTCGACGCGCTAACCTCCGAGCTACCGAGGCTCCCTACAATTATTATCATTACTGTAGTTTCTTCAATTTGAAAACTGTATATTTGTCCAAGGGAGTATCTAGGGGAGGTCAAATTATTCTGGAAAGCGCTTTGGGTTCTATGAAGAAGTCTGTCGTAGACGAATATTTTGACAGCCCTCCACTTCCGAGAAGGAATCCTAATGTTGGAGAAGCGTTGGATCAAGTGTCTTGGAGTTGAAGGGGATTTTGTAAAAGATTATTTTTTACTAAAAATTGCAGTCTTTCATTGTCAGGCCGAGTAATGTTCAACCTACCTTTGTGGTAGTGAAATAGTTATGTAAGGAACTGTTTTTTCAGTACCCTTAAGATAAAGCTACTCACTTGCCACTTCAAGTCTTTGAAGCTGATGTACAAGGTTTCTATTCTGCAGCTTCTCCTGGAGTCTGGTTCATTGTCTGAAAAAGAAGTTATACATATAATGAGGGTCATTCTTTAATTAAGAACCGTTTTGTAATAGAGTGACGGAAACTTTGTTTATGAATGTAAGTTGTATCACAAACTAAAATATGAACATTTTTCCATTTTCCAATATAGTCACCATAGACATTTACGCATTTGTCAATTCATAGCACTAGCTTTTAAATCCCGTCGTCAAATAACGCTGCCGTCTGACCGTGAAATCAGTTACTAACAACATGTCAGTATCTACCAAAAGCTTTTCCAGCAAGAAATTTCTTAAGTTTTTGGAAAAGATGAAAGTTCGATGGTGCTAAATCCGGGCTATATTATGATGAATGATTCAGTAATTCCCAACGAAACGAATCGAGCGTTGTCATGAATCCCAACGACACCGCTAGAGAGCAGGTTGTGCCGGCGGTTTTGGATAGCAGAATAGCGCGCCTAATTCAACAAGCTACTGGTGGATTTCCGCAGGAGGAACTTTTTTGCGTTTAAAAAACGAATTACTGAGCCCACTTCACAATCGGCTTATTGACATGGCGACAAACAAAGCTGTATAACACAGCCAACACCGACAAATACGAGCTACGTAATGGCGGCGTAGTGAGAGACTGCCCAAGAGAGCGTCTGAGGTTGAACACACGTCGCGTGACTCGATGCGCCTTCGGGTCTTACTTTAAAAATGGCCCTCGTACTCTACGATCAACTTTCAGAGTTGACAAATAAACGTATCCACCGGTTGCTTTAATACGTTTTCAAACTACCTAAGTTTTTATCCACCAACCCCTTAGTTCTAATGACAATATGAGATAGTCAAGTACCAACCACTTACTTTTATATCCATGCACTATACTTGAAAAGGTGGTATCTTTCTTCGTTTTTGGTGACCTCGCTGTTCTTGCCTTAACATGGTTCTGAGCTTTCAAGAAAGCGACCATAAACGGCTGTATTTTATCTTCTGCCTTCGTGGTTACTAGTCCGATATCTTCTGGTCTTATTTCATGACCTGTAACGAACAGTCATAACTTTTTGATTACGTGAATTGCGATTTTGCCTTGTTATTTGAGTCCTGAATTATTCATAATTGATAGAAATATGTGGCTTGTTCCTTCCTACGCCGACGCGAAGTACTTCGGAAAATGAGATAGGTAGTATGGTTTTTGAATGTTATATGTACATCACGAAAAACCGTTGATTGAATTTTGACACGACATTACGACTATACCAAGGACGAAAAAGCTTTGTAGGTTTTGAAAATCCTTCCAGTGAGGGCGGAGCTATAGGCAAGAAACTAAGTTTTTTGACGTTTCAGAGGCTCCTGATGATCATTGTCAGAAATTTTTTTGTTGGGGTTGAAAATTAGGGGTTGGGGATTGTAGGGTCTGGGGGAGGCTATATCTCAATTCGATGTTAATAATTATATTTTATATAATATATATTTATATATACATATATATATATATATATATATATATATATATATATATATATTTCCAACGCACACGTCGTAGGCAACACAACGAACATAGATATAACTGAGCCAAGGTCCGACCGATGGTTGGGTGGCGAGTGTCCAGGTTAATCATAGCACCGTTGCCAGATGGTCGGTATTGTAGGTACGGCGGGGTAAAATTTCTAAATAGCAACGTTGTTAAATGGGTGGAAACTATTATGGAGCTGTTTGACTGACTTGACGAAGTTGACTTTTTTGATATACATGTTCGTAGCTAACTTTTTTCTCAGAGTGGCTAGCTTGTATTTGTTTTAAGAATTGATCATAACGTTGCGTGGAAAAGGCATAGTCAGTCTACCTGACGCCACTTTGTTTTGTTACTTTTGATCAAAACAAAGACTGAAATGTTTATATGACCAAAGTATTGTTTTGAGATATGTTTCTTCACAGTTTGAATAAACCGTTTTGTTCCAGAGATAATCTATATAGCATTTCATAAGAAACTTTATAAGAAACTCGGCAATCGATAATATTCCATTATCAACATATCAACACGGTATACCTTTAATAGGAATAGGAAATAGGTCGCGCCCACCATTTGATACTAGATTCGCAATCACGTGTCCGATTTATCTACGGGATGAGTTTTGACCAGCCTGCAACCAAGCAATAATTTGTTCATCCTACTAGGCTACTAGTTTACTTTATCGAGCATCTCAAAATGTTACAGGACTGTATAGTGCCTGTTGAAGTACACACGAAAGTGTTTACAATTATCAATATTCCTGGAAAATAGAATCGGTTCTGTTCCCAGGTAAGAGAGTATTAAATCTCCAAGGAACTTATATTAGTTCTAAGAAAGAAATTAACAAAGATAATATAGCAATTACCTACCTGGTCGAGAGAGCGGCTGAACCGATAAATAAAGACCCTTGTTAGAGGCAGGAAATGCCACCCAAGTAGCTAAACAGGCAGTGACGTTCAGTGTGACCCAATCCGATAAATCCGAGGTCACGTTAAGGGCAGACACATATTCTAGTTCACGTTCTCTAAAAATAAATAAAAGGGAAAAATCAAGAAATGGTCTTTTATTTTAGCAATGTTTAATTATTTTATCTGTTTTGGCCCATATGGTATTCGCGAATGCTTTGATATAAAAAGATGTAATGATAAGTTCTAAATGTTAGTAGCTACCATTGTCTAATATGCATTCTGGTACTGACTTCATATAAGTATACTTTAAATAATTCACTTACCCATTATCAGTATTGATAAGCTGGTATACCGAAATAGTGTAAACAGAATCTGGATTTTTTTCATTGACTTTGTTCTTGAATATCCTTAATTCTGCTCCAACTATATCCTCTGCAATGGGAACCTCAGAGACATTGAACCACAATCTTTTTCCTCGTTCATGTCTTACGTTACTTACATGGTGATCTAAAAAATATTTTTGGTAGCAACATGCTTATTATTCTCCAAGCAGTTTTATGTAGTATGTTCAACAGACCGCAACGCACGTATTGGGCATTTAGAGCTGAACGGATTTTAGAACCGCTTGTGTGTTATTGAAGTTTGTCCACTGATCCGAATCGGTTGGACAGCATATGAGCAACCAAATAGGATTTTTCTAAGGGCCAACTTTTCCGATTTGCGCCAGTAACGTCATATAGATTGCCAGTCAGTAAAACGCTTGTTGATTTGGGTTCGGTTTCCCTAACGTCCTGTGTGTTGAGACCCAGTATCGTTTATCCCACAGAGCCAAGGACTCTCCTTCCATCTTCTATTCCAAAGCATACACATTTGGAATTTTTAGCCACCTCTATCACATATTGTAAGGTGTATGTAGTCGCAATATGAAACGATATACTTTTGAACAGATAGTTTAATAGACTTCAAATCTGCTTCTATATGTTACGCGATTTCTTTGAGAAAAAATGTTATTTCAGCTCTCAAAGATCCAAAAAGGTTCCCATATTTGTATCTCTAAAATAATTCCGTTGTGAAATCGCTTATTATATTTTTTCTTTGATATTCTATATATCCTAATATACTAAGTGACATATAAATCCGAACACCCAGTTTAAATGGTTTTATTTTAATAAAATTTTGTATAAGTACTTAATGAAGCACAATAAGTAAATGATAAAAATTTCAAAATGATTTCACTGCTTTAAAGCCCTTTGACCTTTAATAATGTGTGGATGCACCCTGATGTGTTACGCATTCTCCAACGCGCCTAGGCATGTTTCTGATTAGTTGGTCAATGTCCTCCTGTGGTATCTCATTCCAGGCAACCAGCAACTTCTCTCGAAGTGCTTCTAGAGTCTGAGGAGGACGTTGCAAATTGAGCAATCTTCTACCCATCATATCCCACACGTGCTCAATTGGGGATAAGTCGGGAGATCTTGGTGGCCATGGTAACAATGTGACATCATTATGTTGAAAGAAGTCTATTGTGACTCTTGCAATATGTGGTCGGGCATTATCTTGTTGGAAAGTTGGATCTGCCAGGGTGTCAAGATAGGGGAAAAGATGAGGTTCTAGAACTTCGTGGATATAACGCTGCGCGTTCATGTTACCTCTGATGAAGGTTAAAGGTGACCTGGAACCATAAGCTATAGCACCCCAAACCATAACTCCAACAGTGTGATGATCATGTCTTTCAACAAAAAAACTGTGGATTCCTCCTTTCACCACGTCGCCTTCTAACCCTAGCACGACCATCGTGCATGCCTAAACAAAATCGAGACTCGTCACTAAAGACAATACTGTTCCATTCCTGATCCCAGAGTGACCGTTGTCTGCACCACTCAAGGCGATTACGTCGGTGTTCTCGAGTTAAAGGGAGGACCCAGTGTGGCCGATATGAAAACAAGCCAAAACTTCTCATTCGTCGGTAAACACTTCGCATGCCAATAGGTCTTCCGTGTTCTGCAAACCATTCATTTGCAATGGACCTGGTAGTGGAGAAACGGTCCCTTAAGGCCAATAATCTTAGGCGGCGATCTTCACGGTCTGTTGTTCTACGGCGGCGTCCAGTGCCCCTTGCTCTTTGCGTACGGCCTTCTCGAAGCCATGCATGACAACACCTAACTACACTGACTACACTTATTTGCACTCTAACTGCAATTGCCCGAAAAGAAAGTCCAGCTTCGCGAAGTCCCACTATACGGCCCCTATCAAACTCACTAAGTTGACGAAATCGTACAGGTCTCCGTACTCTAGGCATCGTAACCGATCGTAAAGGATGTCAAGAACCAAAATCCGTCAACGTTGATTCTTTACTGCGGCTGAAATATTCATTTTTAGAGCGTTAGTGAATTAAAAAAAAGCAGTATAAAAACCGGAATGTCCAACTGATAAGGCTGAAAATTTTTTCACTTGTTATTTACAGTAAGATAAATACATTCACCAACTTTTATTAAAATAAAACCATTTAAACTGGGTGTTCGGATTTATATGTCACTTAGTATATATTGTGACAGTACTACTGGCAACTTTTTAGGATGTTTCTATCTACAGATAAAGCAGACTCGTCTACTTTTGTCACTGGGCCCAAAATGAGCTGTCGCGCCTGGCGGTGATATCCAGAGATCCTACTCAGTTTCAGGTAGTGATCCATCAAAATAATTCCTTTATTGTCCTCCTACTTCTTACTAACTTAAAGTATCTGCAGTCTGTGCGCGCGAGTGTTGTTTTTAGCATACGCTGAACCGCAATAATTGTATAAACAAACAAGGCTTAAAATACATCGACCGATTCCTTGGAATAGATTTTTGCGTCGTGCGTTGTGGATTTCATTATAATCTGCAATAGACGATGTTCCGGATACAACATATATCACGCACATTCCATCTATGGATGTTTCTATGAAGTTGATTCTTGAACATTACTGAATTTCGTATGAACAGAGGTGTTGAGAAAAAGTGAAACAAATATGCTTTTCTATTTCTAGCCCGGGCCTGTCGAGAGACCTGAGGGAATCTAATGTGTACGGGACACCTGAAAGGATTTTAAAAGCAAAAAAATTCTTATTTTCAATGCCGGATCTCGCTTTTTATCAATACCTCAGAACCCCAGGCCCGGAGAATCCGCCTATTTTTAATCCATCCCTTTCGTTGGATTTGTTCTTCTCTTTAACATGTTTAGGGATATCCTGAATCTACTTACTAGCACTTTCGAAAGTCATGATGACGTCACTCTCGTCAATTTGTTGCCGTTCTTCTCCGCTGATGCTCAATTCATTGGCTACATCTCTTTTCATCCTATGGTTCTCTTCATTTTCAGACTCCATCAAGGATTTGTAGATGTCTAGTAAGAATCTAGGAGCAGATTTTTCTAGTGGTTGCTGCAGAGATCATACATAGATATGATGGATCATTGGAATTAGATATAATGTTGAAAAACAAAGGACAGTCGTGAGCATGTCCGCAACAGAGAATTAGGAGCAGAAATAGAAGGTAACCCGAGCGACATACGTTTCCGCTTATTCGCTTCATCAGGCCCTAATGGATGTGCATCGAGAACACTGAAGGGAGAACACATGCCCATCACATCTGAATACGGGCGTAACCTGAAGAAAAACAAGAATGGAAAAAGAAATACAACTAGAAGCCGCCAACAAGAGCCAGCAGGCACATTTTTGGCTTCGGTCGGAAGTCTTTGTGTTTACGCGGGATCAGCTATACCACCTGTCGTGGTACTTCAAACTTCAAACACAATTCTTCTATTTCTACTGTTGTTTCTTTATTGCGTAGATGCCACGATCGTCCTTTGTTTTTCATCTAAGTTTTCGCAAAACTACTTGTTTTCATTAGATCAGAATCGTGTGACGTGGAACATACTACTACTTAACTGTCGACTTTATGTGTGCTTAAAACAATACCATATTTACAAAGCGCTATACGAATGCTTGATGTTTATAAACAGAATTTAATATAATCCCAGAACTTGTCGAACTTCTCGAAAATGATGTTTAATATGTATATGGCTGGTGCCTTCAGAATAAGATAGAAGTCTTTCTACAAAAAAATGCTAGAGGTTCCCACAAAATAGGTACCATATGATCGAGTCTCTGAAAAACAATTAACTCATTTAGATCGTCAGAGAGGTGCTCAACGCAATATTGCTAAATTTTCATAGCTATTATAGGCCATCTTTGAAGTCTCTGATCTAGTAAACTACCCCTGCAAGAACATTGCATACATGTGCGCCTGCTTGAATCATGTCGGGCGCGCATCATCGGCAAAGAATAACTTTTTCAAAAGTGTACCTGCTTCTTGAAGAGTGGGGAAAATGTCACAAGATCTTGCTAAACACGCAAGTTTTAAGGTCTAACCGATCTCGGGGTGGGCCATGGCCCTCCGTGGCACCCCTTGCGGGCGCCCATGATTGGATCCATGGTCAATTTTCTCGTACATTTTAAGAGATGTGATTTAAAAAAGCAATTTTTCCCAAAAGTGAAACAAAGTCATTAGGGTCTTTTTGAAACTCCCGACTCAAAAAAGAGTGGGCGGTTAGCAATAAAATATTGATTTAGTACATAACAACACGACTATTTGTTTGTTTCAAATGTGGTCGTACCTACCTTTTATTACTACAGGTCAATCTCAAAAAAGGGAAACAAAACCTCGTAAGAAAATGCACCCACATTTATAAAAATAAATTAGGTATAGGTTACTAATATCATTTCTTCTTTTTCAGATATAAGGAATATTGGTTAAGGGTATACCTTATTGATCTTTCTGGGTCGGTTGGGCAGTCCGAGGAGATTCAGAATCTCCACCTCCATTTCTTTTCTTTCCTCATTGGACATGAAGTCTACGGCTGTTTGGTCGAGGCCATTATCCACATACACACCCGTGGTTTTCACCGCAAACACCACATAACCATGTAAAAGAAGAAAACACAACACTAATAGCATTTTCATCGCGAGCGATTTCTGTACGAATTCTGCCTTCTAGCGTGAGGTGCGTGGGCAGGTATACGCTTAAAACAGGTTGTTAAAATTAACAAGTTCCAGTCGCACTCCCCACTTCTTGCTTATTACAATCAAGAGAGAGGTAGGGTCCAGCAGAGTCGACTCGGTTAGTTTGTGGTAAATACTTCAAGAGTGGTGGGTCATTGTCTTCAGGCATGCTTCAGATGCGTGGTACCCAAGGTACCTTGTTACGAGGGCGTGTTGAAATGTTCTCTTTAGGCTAACCTTCCGTTTCTTCCAGTATTCTAAACAGGCCCTCTGATTAACCGAAATGAATCGTATCATCTTCAGAAAACTGTTTCCGTCCCGACAGCAAACTAAATGGCCAATGGTGTGAACTTTTTGCCCAAATCTCTAAATTGCTAGAAGCCAACCACGAGGATCGAGTCACCAATGTTATTAAAAAATTCAGTCGAAGTTTGCAATTACTAATTTCAGTCGGACGTGGCAAAACATGTTACAGAAACAGGTGGAAGAGTCGACTGAATGTGATTGATGCTTGTTGTTGTGTTTAGGCATGTTTTAGTGCTACTTTTTATTGCAACGTACTGAATGTTCCACTATAAAGAATACATTTTTTTAACATGTTGTCTACTAACAATATCTTTGGAGGTCAGAAGGGTGTTGACTTGATTTTCTTTAAATCCTGTATAGGATGATAAGGCGATCAAAGAGCAAAATTTCTATTGGTGACTTAAGAAAACCTCCAAGAATTCGCACATGCAATGTTTTAATCTACATTTATAATTTAGCGAGTCTTGGCATTGATTAACGTATTCCACCAGCTGGAATATATTAATCAATGGTTTTAGTAACAAATATGTACTAATAACGATTGCATCTGACTCAAAGGCTAAGGCGGAAGTGCTTGCCAAGATATTTGGCTAAGGCGGAAGTGCTTGCCAAGATATTTGCTGCCAACTCCACCACAGACGTCCCCCCCTCAACTCCCCGAATGTCGTCGATTCAAAGGGTTCCCTACACTATGCAAGAAGTAACATTCAGGCATGATACCGTAAAACGGGTGCTTGTTACGCTCGACATCAACAAAGTTTCTGGTCCGGACTTGATTCCTGACTTTGTGTGTGCAGTGGAGCTTGCTCCACTTCTTTCGCGTCTCTTCCAGATATTTTACGAATCCGGCACTTTTCCAGAAAATTGGGAAATTGCTCATGTTCAATACATCCCAAAAAGTGATTTATAACTGACCTTTACAACTATGCAGGCCTATAGCTCTGCTTTCTGAGGTGATGGAAAGGTGCATAAAATGCTTCTGGACTACCTCGAACGCGCTTGATTTGCGACAGGCAGTATGATTTCCGGCACCAGCGATCCACAGGGAACCTACTAGCTTGAGTCACGCAATTGTCCATCCAGTCTTATGGTGAGGCTCATGTCGTTGATCCTGATATCACGAAAACGTTCGATCAGCTGTGGGTCGCTGCCCTCCTATGCAAACTTCCATCCTGTGGCCTCCCAGAGAAGCTTTGCAGATGGGTTGCTGACTTTCTCTCGGGCCGCAAGATATCCGTCGTAATTGACAGGTTCTCCTCTATATTTTAGAACGTCAACGCGGGTGTTCCCCAGGGATCGGTGATGGCCCTGATAATGTTCCTCTTACATATAAACGACCTCCTTTCCTGCATGATCAATCCAATCCACATCTCTGCTGATGATAGCACTCTACATACTGGAATTCAGAGCGACAAGCCGATCTCTGTCGGTGAGCTGGAAAAAAAAAGACTAGCAGCGACTAATTATTCCTCTTTGACGAGAGACCTGGAGGTTATCACTGCTTGTGGACGTAACTGTCTTGTACAGTTTAATGCTTCCAAAACACAGTTATGTACCCTGACGAATAAAAAGCGTTCTAGCGCTCATCCGGTTTCGATGGTTGGCCGAGTTCTGCCAAAGAGCCGTTCATTTCGCCTGGTTGGTGTCCAGATCACCGAGGACTTGATCTGGCATAATCACATCTCGTCAATAGCGGCAGCTGCTGGGAACAAATCCACACTACCCACATGACCTCTTCACTGTATACAAGGCCCAGATAAGATCTAGTCTTGAGTATTGTTCACATGATTAGGGTGCTGCCGCTCCGATTACATTATTAATGCTTGATGCTGTCCGATGACAATCAGACAGTCTCAGGATCCTTTCGCGCCGGCGATCTAGCTCTCACCTACCGCTAGACCAACGGGCTTTGCTCCTCCGAGCTCTCCTCCATGATGCCGCCGCGCGATGTGCCTGCCAGACAGACCCGCCTGATTTTGGCCTCCCATCCTAATTAAGTGGAACTTTGTACATCCAGAACTGGCCGATACGACCGCTTCTTTGTCCCTAGGGTGTCGAGATATGAAAAAATTTACAACAGGAGGCTTTTTCTTTGGGGTCCTCTTGGTAGCTGTGGTGTCCTAGCATTTAGGCTACTGCCTTCGCGGCTGTTTCTGTGTAAAAAACCGACATTTGTGCAATTTCAGCAAACTTCAACCTAGCTAATAACAACTAATCTACAGGTCAGATTTTAAGCTGTATTATTGCAAGGTTTTAGTGAAGTAGGGCATCATTTTGCATAGTAGCCAAGCCGATGAAAGACAGTTTAATGCCTCAATAAATACGAATAACTGGAACACATCTCTAAAAGTTTAAGGTGAATACTGTTAAAGATTTGAATATCCAGGGTATAAGGTTTACTTAAAATATTTAAGCAGTTGGCGACAAAAATATTCATCAAAATGAATAGACTTAATTTATTCACATAACTAAGAAAATATACAAATGAAAGAGATGTGTACAAATGTCAAATATGACTATTTTAAAAGTAGAATCTTATATTATACACTATTTTACATATTTCTCCATGAATTTCTTATGGAACTCTGATCTCAATGAGTCATTAATGAATACATTCATTTTCTTCTCAGGTTCAGATTTTGCGCAGTTCTTGAAGACAACATCGTCATCCCACCTTCGCTTAACTTTATGATCTGTTTTGGCACCTCCAGCTGAATAATGTGTCAAAAGTGGATTTCCACTCAAAATATTTTCCATTCTTATCCTTTCTTCTTCCTGCCTCCTTTCTATTTCCTACAATCAATTAAGAAATTATAAATATTTTACAACCAGGTTTCTCACTTCATCATTTTAATGACACATTCTTAGCTGAATCAAACTGTAGTCATGAACCTTAGCAACTGTATTGATTGGTTCATTCTGACTGTATACAGAAACCTTTCTATTACTTTATGCAAAACAACACACAAAAGTATATCCGTGACTATGAAGTATAAGGCACCATGTGGATCCAATAGAGTTAAAATGTGATGAAGTGTTGTAAAAAATAAATTAGACAGTATCCAAGCCTAAGGCAACTTTACCTTCTTTGCTTGTTCCATAGCTCGTTCCTTCTTGATTTTATTTAGTTCAGCAATTAGTGCCTCAGTATCATCCTCATCATCACTGGAATCTGATTCGTCCTCATCTAAAGGATCATCTGCATCTAAACTAGCTGCTGGAACTTGGTCTAATTTCAACCTTTTACCATGTTCACCTGATCTGATAGCTGGCCTCTTTTCCCTCTCTCGCTCTTCCAGTTCTTTGCGGAAGTCACGAGTGCGGGTTTCATCAACTGTACCCTGACCATGTTCTCTGTAACAGAAGGATAGTTAGCAAACTCTGAAGACCGAGTGCTTAGGAGATATTGAAAAAGAATGAAGTTATACAAAAGAGACTATTGAAGGGGCAAATTGTAGATACCTGTATTTTAGCTTTGTGTGGCTGGGCAGATCCCTGCTAGAATACTGCCTGGACATAGCACTGAGGTCCTTTTCATTCCTGCCTGAGCCTCCGCGGGCAGGATCGAAAGTTGGACGTGCTGCAGTCGTCATGATGGAAATTACTTTTTAATCACTGAATACAAAAATTCCGAGCTCTTTAATGTTCTAATTTCTCACAATCTTCTCAATCTCAAATAAACGAAAATTTTGGAAAAAATTAGCTTAGCTGTACATATACAACAATTAGCAAATGTCAATTTCACAGTTTGACACTTAACCAAACCATACCTAACTGCCAATAGTGCCAATCCACAAAACATAAGGCATATTAGGTATATTCTTTAATTCACCGGTTGATTCCATCACTGATGGATCCGGTGAACTTATGGTTGACAGCTAATGTGATGACGTCAGTAACCGGTTCCGTTGAATGGCGGTTAATAAAAAGACACATTTTTAGCCTTCAGGTTGCTGTCATATACCAAGATAAGTATCAGTCTAATTTAAATTTAGTAATAACACAATCTTACATCAAGCATTTGTTTGCATCGCCTTCTTAAATAAAATGCAAAAAATAGGAAAAAACACGTTTGTTTATAACTTAAAAAAATAAATGCAACATGATAAATCGTTGAAGTCGTAGAAAAAGATGCTATTAGATACAGGGTCGTATTTTGTTAAATGTCGGGCACATTTAAAAACATGATCAGGTAGTGCCATTATTTTTTTGACATTTCTTAAAATAAAGTCAGACAAAAGTAAAAACGATTTGGCAAAATTTTAGATTTTTCCAAATACCTCAGTATATGACTAATTTCTCGGTGTATGCAATGTACGCAATTGATTTAAAAAACAGGATGTCAACCCTAACAGATAAGTAGATGAGTATGCAAGGCTCACCTAATTTGCACATGTATCCTGTTTCCCTCAGAAGAGTTGGAAGTAGACCTAATTTCCACTTTGGGGACACTTGACACCCACGTCACAGCACTAAAGCACCACTGAGGCACAATCGAAAACCCTATAGTGAACACAGCTACTAAAAAAAAGTAGAGAGACTGAAGCGTGCAAGTGGTGTACCTCGCTGCGGAGATACGGTACGGCCGGGTAGTACGTTGACCGATAGCAGACGCGCGGAGTGCTCTATTTGGTTTAGCTACTTTTTTTAGTAGTGGTGTTCACTATAGGGTTCTCGATTGTCTCTTAGTGATGCATAGACGCCAGGTGACGCAAAATGTAAAGAACAGCTTTTGTTTAATTTTTTGGCAAACATTGCTACGCCTCAAATTTTATATATCTCCATTGGTATTCCTCAATATTTTATTCAAAACTGCTTTTTTTATATAACATTCTATCAAAAGAATTTTTTCGCGAGATCCCGTAGTGAACCGGAGCGGGAACAAATGGAATTTCCCCTTCCTCTCGAAGTTTTGACAGTTTCAAGTTCAACCGGAGAGGTTAGATGGTGCATGTTGTGTAAAATGTTTGCTTTAAGTTCCTTGATAAACTTGGCTTGGCCTTGTATGAATCAGAAATAACAAGACCGATCGTTTTTTGTGATATATGTATCAATGAAATCAATCAATCAATCAATCATTTGATATGAAAAGTGCGGTTCATATATCTTCGATGACCTTCTCCCTCGTCATTTAAAATCAGGTGGACGTTTTCCTCCATTTATGATTTAATAATTTAACTCAATTTTCAGCACTGCGAAGACAAATTTTCAATTAAGATGCCTGTTTTTAAATGACATTAACATAAGACCTGTCACCCGCTATTACCTCACAGACGTTAGGAGGGGAACCGTACCACGTAATTTTTTGACATTCGGACGACGTCAAATCCGTCTTTCCCTATTCTCGTTCGTCGCGAAAATTTGAGTATCGGTTCCCGGTAGTGCACTGTGCTACACCGTGGACTCGCGAAAAAATCCTTAAAATAGCAGAGGTAGCAAAATCGGTCGATAAGCTGGCAACGCCGCAATATAGGTGGCAAGAATGACAAGACGGATGTCTATCCCGGGGTTCCGACAGAGTCTTTAAGAACGTCAAAGCTTCAATTTTCCATTTGAATTTTTTTAAGTGTTGCGCAACGATTGACGGTAGCCTGAAGGCTAAAGATGCGTCTTTTTATTAACCGCTATTCAACGGAACCGGTTGCCGACGTCATCACATCAGCTGTCAACCATAAGTTCCGGTGAGTTCACCGGATCCACACCCACAGTGATGATCAACCGGTGAATTAAAGAATATAATATACCTTATGATACTAGGCGTATTTTTTAATTCACCGGTGCAACCAATTAGCCAATTTTACTTCCTTTAATTTCCGTCTGAGCGACCGGCTGTACACCAAACTTGTCTATACAGTTCGCTCAGACGGAAATTAAAAGAAGTAAAATTGGTTGCACCGGTTGCTCAACCGGTCAATTAAAGAATACGCCTACTTTACACTGACGTTCTGGCTACCGAGTCAACTATGGTCAGCGAGCTGTATCACTGGATTATGTTTATATTTTTCCTCTGACAACACCGATTGCAGGAATCTACTGACAGCTGTTGAACAGTAGCAAAACTACAGCTCCAGTAATAGGCCGGCATATTATTACAGATCCTTTTTCTATATTACCGATATCTAGTGTATAATGATTTAACTAAGATGACCCTGACAAAATCATATAACTTACATATAACCATAACCTCTTTTCCGGAATTGTCAACGTGAAAAGTAAAATGAGATTATTTCAAGCATTATTTCGCCGAAAACACCTACCAAATGGCAATATTTACACAGGGAAGCATAGAATTGTCCGAGAACCAACAATAAAGGATCTACAAAACTTGAGAAACCACTTTGAAATTGAAGAACGTAACATGTTCCTTCTGAGGCACCCATACCTCACACCAGTAAGCAACTTCTGTATTGAATCTATGAAGTATTAGTGGACTACGAATGCAAAGTTCATAAGGTATTTTTTAGTAAGTATTTATAAGAAATTTGTTTCAAGGAACAATCATCAGGTCATGCCAGAGCACTTGGTAAAATTGAAGCAAACACAATAAAAACATTAACCAGGCCAAAACCTTACAAAGACCATGTCACCATTGAATCCAGATTGGCACACTTGAGGGTGAATGAAGCATGGGATTGAAGGTATAGAATATAAAATAGTATTTTGTTAATAATAGGCTTGTAAGTAGATGAAACTTGGATATTAAAAATGTAAAACATAAAAAAACGGAATTTATTGACATTCACTTTATTCTCTATGGGAGGTAACTGAACCATAGCAGCCATGTGGCATCTTAGCATATCCAACAAAGCATATTAGGGCAATAGTGGCATGCCAACATCTATGAAATAATATGCTAACTTCTGGAATGTTGTCAGAGCACATAATCATGTTTTTACTGAAAAAACAGCACTTTTGGAAAGGTTGATACACTCATACCCTGCCATTTGGTATTCACCATGATGGAAAAAATTAAAATGCCTTCCTACAGGTATTGGTGATCTGGGCTAATTTTCTGCCTAAATGGGGTGCATAAATTTCATACCCATCTTCACAGAAGATCGACAGTACTTCACGACTTTTTGCAGTCACATTAAAATTCAGCATCCTAAATTATCCAAAGTGTATGTTTCATTGAATTGTTACAAGAGAAGATAGAATTTGATCTTTTACCTTAACAAGTCCTAGAAAGTTTAGGACTTATAAAAAACAAAAATCCGCGCGTATCTGCGATCTAGATTAATTTCCTGGTTACATTGAATGTATAGGTTTCCAATCAGACATCAATTTGAAACTGGAGGGTCCCAAACTACCCATTTTTCACCCCATATTAGGTCCCTTAGTACTTGTGATTTCTTGTCAAATTATGTAAGTCTCATTCAGATGTATCAATGGAAATCGAACATTTTTCCTTACAAATTTCTAGAGTATTTAAAGATTCTCTATGTAAAAATTAAAAAACCCTGCGTATTCGTGATCTGGAAGAAGAGCCGTTGCTGAGCTAAATTGTGGCGTAGAGTCAGAATCTGAAGCCAATTTGAGCCACCCATTTTACGATCTTTTGATGGTATTGTTCAAATGCGGCGCTCAAAAAATAAAAAACCGATTGTACCGAGTAAGAAAGGACTCAATGGTTGTCTCACCAATTAATTACATCTGTGCGAGTTACTTCTTTACTGATGTTTCAGCCACCATGGTGACCTTTTTCACAGCACAACTAATAATATATTTTATGTAGCAAGTAACATTCAACTGTAACAATGGGAGACGAAAACGTAAAATGTGCCTACAGCATATGGAAAAATTTCATAGTTTTGGAAACCTGTGAACTGGATTGTAAGCAAAAACGGGCGCGAGTACTGCGAAGCTGACATTGATTTAACGCTAGTACCCATGGAAGGTCCCAAACGACTCAGTTTCTGGCTGTAATTCGGCCCATCGACACTTTACGATCTTTTGATGACTAGACTTGAACTGTACCAAAGCGTAGCCGAGTGTACCATTTTCAATCAATTGTAACCATAAGAGACGAAAATAGGAGTTTTTTCGTACAAAGTACTACGATATTTTGAAATGGGTGTATGATCTGGATGAAGACCTGTTTTTTGGCCAAATTGGGCGCGTGTACTCCAAGCCTGACGCTAATTTAACGCTAATGCCCATGAAAGGTTCAAAACGACCCATTTTCTAGTTCAAATTCGACCCCACCACGGTACGACTTTTGGATGATTATATTTGAATTCAACCCCCAACACTAAGTGTACAAGTACCACTCACTGGTTGCAAAGGAAAACGAGAACGGAAATGTTGCTCTGTAAAATCCTAGTACATGCTGAATAACAAATTTACACTGCGGGTATCTGTGGTGTAACTTCCCGCAAGGCTTCGTTCGTCCGTGCCTTAATACCACGTTGTGTTAAGATGAACACAAGAGACAGCACTTAGGCTTGTGTGGCTCTTCGAAAATTATGTACGAAATACCATGTCTTGGAATCGTCCTACACCACAACTATCTGCAAACACTCGCACTTTTAAGAAATAATACTAAATATATGTATTTAATAACAGAATTGTCAAAAAATTGACATATCAACTGCACTTTGATCCTCACTACAGACTACGAGAATAAGAAGATAAACAAATTCTTGCCTGATCCTCCTACCTAGTCTCTCTTCATTGGCTGGAACTGTATCAGAGTTCGCATTGTCAGCCTGGTCACTACTGTGGCCGTAAGATGTCGACGATTCTGGCGCGATAGATACGGCCTACTCGCCATTAAACAAACTAGTTGCCAAATAGCACGGAAACACTGCTCATTGTTGGCCGTCTGTGGTTGAAAGAACGAAACCTATGTAGTATGGTCAGGTACTGCGTTAAGGGTTTAGCTTAATGCCCAGCATAAATAGGCTGATGTTGGGCCATCTTTTGAAACGGTGAGGTGTTAACCCACGGAACAGCACGGTCCTGCAGTTAGCTGGTAATGCCAGAAATTGAATCTTTTCTCTTTTTTAGTATTTCTTCCCTGTTCAACATTGCATTTAAAACATCACATTCCGAGTAGAAGTAGTGATTATGCTACTCCATCTTCAAACCACCTCAACTTCAGACTTCAGTACAAATAATACAAACTTTGAATTTCTGTTTATATTTTTTCTACACAATTACACATTCAAAATATAATCTGCATCGGAAAATACTCGTATCATGCACAGCATCATCTAGTACTAATAATTGCTTTGGTAACCGTCTATTTCATTCATAAAAAACTGGTACATATCATATAGATAAAAGTTTATCTTACTGTTCATTTGGTTTAAACTTTAAACAACTACAAGTAAAACAACAAATCAGGTAACAAAAGAAAATATTCCAAGTAATAGTTAGCAAAACTGAGTGTTTAAAAAACCGCTTAGTTTTTACACAAACGTAAATGTGATATAAAAAAGGGACAAGCTCACAGATATATCTCTCGGTATTACATTTTTCTTGTACTACTACCTAAAATCTAAATCGGAGAGGCCAAAAATAAGAGGCGTACGCTATTCCTTTTTGTTTCCATCAAAGAATACCTGACAGAAAATCCAGTCCTCCATGAAGGACGGTACGAATGCTCTGGATGTAGTAAACTTGACAGGAGGTTCAATATTATCCAGCTGAGACTTGAACATATCGACTGATTCAGATGAACATATACCATTTACCTAAATCAAAGAAACATCTATAAAACAACCGCATCAAATGCTTATCAGCTCATAAGCAGTGGTCACAATACGTGCAGATTAGTGATTTGATAGTGTTTCTAGGTACTGCATTGAGCATTTTTGTGACTTTCCAGAACTTCACAGGAACTTAGGCAAATCAATGGGCAATAGATTTCTCTTCTTTATACAGGGTGTTTCAGTTTATTGTTGCATAACTTTAAGATTCGATAGAACTTTTAAAATTAATGCATAAAGTCTATATAAACATGGGTCGAAAAATGCGTGGCTTCCGAAATACAGGGTGTTTAAATTTACTTTCTAAAATAGTTTTTTTTAAATATTTCGAACAATATTTGATGTATAACAGTGAAAATTGGTATACAAGGGATTTTTGGTACGAAAAAACGAACTATGGGCATAGTTTTACTGTAGCCGCTAGAGGACGCTCTCTACTGTACCTGTAGTGTATAAAAATGACCGAAAATTTTTTCTTAGTGCAATTTTTTGCTTTTTGAATAAAAAAACTGATTCTTCGCACTTTTCAACATAATAAAGCTCTCCTGTGAGTTTTCGTTATAGTTAGCAGTTTTTGAGATATTTTGATTTTTAAGGTTCGATGCATTTTTAATTATTTATGGGAAAATAATATTTCGAACAATATTTGATGTATAACAGTGAAAATTAGTATACAAGGGTATAATATTTTCAATTATTTGGCGATGCACTCTTACAAATACTGAGCGAGTTGGATGTCGTCTGTTTGGAAATCTTCGTGCGTATTCTCTGGCTGCTTCTGCTGCGTTTCCATTTACAAAGCCATACACAAAATGAATATCCGCTAACTCTTGATTGGAGAATAAAAATGGCATTTTTATAAAACTTACAAAAAAAAACAGGTAAAAGAAACTAAATTTCGTGCATTCACAATTGCAAAAAAACGTTTCAGGTTTCAACAGACAACAAAACTAACTGTCAACTAATTGATGTTTAACCTTATTCTGCTTTCAATTTCAAAAATATTAGCAGGCACAGCCTACTTCTAAAAATTATCGAGATACTGACTTTTTAACGTTATTTTATCATAAATAATAAAAAATTCATCGAACCTTGAAAATCGAAATATAATAATAATAATAATAATAATAAATTAAATAAATTTCCAAACAGTTTTCAAAAAAAAAAAAATCAGAAAGAGAAACATGAGTATTAACCAAAAAAAAAAGGAAAATATAAACAAAAAATAAATAAAACAAATGTCGACTGTCTGAAAACCACAAGGGGGAGTTCACTATCTAGTGCTCTTCCACTCATCCCTTGGAATTGTAAGAAACATTATGCCAGTAGATTCATCCATCAACCATATAAAAACATCAATATGAACAGCATGTAAGTTTTTTAAAAAAAATAAGATAGAAAAGTGAGACATGTAATAGATTTAAAAAAAAAAGAAAGTCTAGAATAATATATATACATACATATATATACATACATATATACATATATACATACACATATATATATACATACATATATACCCATACATACCGCATAAACAAACGCCAATATGAGCGACAATTAAGTTTGAAAAACAGAGCAAAGAGAAAACGTGGTGGTAAATGTAAAAGTCTAGAATGATATACAAATACATATACGTACATTTGTGCATCATATGAAAAAAAAAATATAAATAAAATAATGGAATGCAAACAAAATATAATTGAAATTCCGCAGTAAGAATAATTCTACTTTATACATTCAAGGTAAGAATCACGCAAAACCGCTTTGAACTTGTGAATTTCATATGATTTGAGGTAATGGGGGATAGGATTGTATAGCTTATATATATTATACGTAAATGATCTTTCATAAAATTTAGTTCTGTGGAATGGAGCGGTAATGTTTTGTTTCGAACGAATATTTATATTATATCTCAAAACCGGCTAACTAGGCAGCAGCGGTGGCCGCAGTAGTAGACTCTTCGGTCTCCTGATCAGTCGCCGTGCGCTGTGCGGGTTCGAGTCCCGTCCCAGGAGAAATTTTTCTCTTGGCTATGGATGTTGTGATTGTCCGTAGGTGGTAGATGGTCTCTGACTGTCGAACGCGGAGGTACCACCCGGCGGTTCTCGTAGGCGGAGCCAGAATGTGTGCATGTTGCATGCACACGTGTTCCCTCGCCAGAGTCCGTGTGGCGTCCTCCTCTTTCCCATGTATCCCCCTATAGCTCCACGGTACTCAATGGGTGCTTAGGCCTTAGGTCTTCGTGGTAGTTAGAGTATAAAAAAAAAATATAACGAAAATTCACAAGAGAGCTTTTTTATGTTGAAAAGTGCGAAGAATCATTTTTTTTATTCAAAAAGAAAAAAATTGCACTAAGTAAATTTTTTCGGTCATTTTAATACACTACAGGTACAGTAGAGAGCGCCCTCTAGCGGCTACAGTAAAACTATGCCCATTGTTCGTTTTGCCGTACCAAAAAACCCTTGTATACCCATTTTCACTGTTATACATCAAATATTGTTCGAAATATTTAAAAAAAACTATTTTAGAAAATAAATTTAAACACCCTGTATTTCGGAAGCCACGCATTTTTCGACCCATGTTTATATAGACTTTATGCATTAATTTTAAATGTTCTATCGAATCTTAAAGTTATGCAACAATAAACTGAAACACCCTGTATTGTGCTTTTCAAAAAGGTCCCCAACGGATCAAGTCAAAACATGATGAGATTTGGGATGATGAACTTGCATTGATACTAAATTTTAACGTGAAAATAACAGTTGATAATTTCAAAATGGCGGATAGGTGCAACATTTTTTAAATAGAATGGGAATACCTTATTTTAAAGTCCATTATGACTAGTTTATAACCTAAGAATGTAAAATTTACCTCAAAATATAGTCATTATCTTTCAAAATGGGGGCTGGTAGGCTATCAAAGTTGAGCATTTTTATACAATGAATTGTTTATAACTCCGCAATAAATCTTCGATATGAGATAGGATATGCTATATAAATCTTCTTATCCTGGAGGATTCTATTGATATATTAATGAAATATGGAATATTCTGTTTAGTAAAAATGCCACAATTATAAATTACTTTTAAACAGAATGTCACATATTTTACTGCACATTCAGATAAAGACGCCCCAGAAGAAAAATATTCATGTAACATACTATAGATTTCTATTTGTTGTTAGCACAAGAAAAATAGTCCACCTCTATGTGAAGCCTACCGAGAAACATCCCATATGTTATACCCTCTCACAGGGATGTTCTAGTTCCAGGCGTTGAATATTGGATAGTGGATCGATATGACTGTCGTATATACAGATGGTTCTGAACAACCCGATGAAACGGGCGGTGCAGCCTTAGTCCCATGTCAGGGACTCGAAATGAAGTACAACCTCCCCAACTCATTTTTTGTCTTTTCCTCTGAGGCATTTGCCATCTTTCAAAGTCTAGATCTTGCACAAAATAACAATATCATTATCTATTTTCAAATCGTTACAGTCTGGCTTGCCACGTTTATCTAATATAAACTCAATATTAGGCAACACTAAACAGAAGGTTCGAGTACTGAGAAGTCAAGGTAGGGAAATTGCTTTCATCTGGCCCAAGGCACACACTGGCATCAAATATAACGACGCTGTAGATACTTTGGAAAAACAAGCAGATCGTGAACAACATTTGGCGCATACATGTGTTGACGATTGAATCACAAGTATCAAATAGAATATCCGGAAGATGTGTGATTCTTATAAATAATATGTTTCAAATAGCAGAACACAGTACTGCCGAGCGCAAGAAACAATCCCAACAAAGCTATAGTTTAAAAATCGATGCGATGGTAGACATCTTATCACTATTTAGATTGAGGTTAGTACATGGCTGTTACCCTTCATTGTTAGCAAGACTAAATATAATTCTCTGATGTAACACTCCTGCAACTTTAGATCATATTTTTTGAATGAAGAAGATATTACGAAAATGGAATGGGGACTGTTGGCATCTACTCCCTACTCCCACTACAATTTAGTATGCATTCTATCTATGAACCGTTTATATATACGTATATATATACACAGTGCTTAAATTTCTTGAGACCAACATACGAATTTAGCTGCCTATTATTACTATTGGTCTTATCTCTCATATTGAGACTGGCTGCATGGACTCTTTATGTCCTAATGCCAATAAACAAAAAAGGGCTATAGAATACGTCCAGCCGCCACCTTGAAATTTTTAACTGCCAGTATTTATGGATGAATTTCATCACCCAAAATTTTAGCCTGCTAACTAGACCCGTTAAAAAGTTTAGAGGAGAACCCCCTTTTGGGAAGCAATGTATATGTTTAGATACTAAAGGGACATTCAAGCGCAACATACAGAAATGAGGGTACCATAGTTGCGTGAATTCCACTCCAAGAACATCAAATAGTTGCTTAGTTCAAATAATATACGTACATGTGTCATAAACTTTCCATCAGGACGTAATAGTTTGAAGCACATTTGGAGCACCTTCTGATAGAAGGTCCATAACTGCCCTGAATGCTTTTGAGATATAGGAACATCTGTGAGGTCCCCAAAAATATAGTCAAACTTTCTTCCTTCTTTAGTGAACTCCTCTAAGGACTTCATACAATCTCCAACTATTATCTAGAAATTTAGCAACGTTAAATACTCTGCATAAGAAATCTTGTTAAGATTTGTTTACCTTATAATTTGGTCCCTCGTACTTATCTAGAACGTCGCCACAAATAGAACGCATATATTTTGCACACGCTTTCATAACCATCTCATCTATCTCCAACATAACAACTTCCTTGGGTTTCTCTTTCAACAATTCATACAGTAAAGCGCCATCTCCTCCACCTTAATAGACAAAAGAAAAATCATGTGTGTCTATTTTCTATGTTCTTTGAGCATTACTATCAATAAAAGTAGCTCAAAAATTCAGGATATCGGCGTTTATGCTCAAGAAAATTAGCAAATGGTTGAATTGAAAAAAGCGTTGAAAAGAAGTAAGTTGTAGGATGTGATTGAGCATATATTTAGGTAACAAAAAATAAGAACATATCTAAGGCGCTCTACGGCTCGTAATGGAGATGCTACATATTTGGACAAAAAAAAAACAATGTACAGTCTGCGAAAACCAAAACTTCGCCAATTTTGGCCTGATAGATGTTAAAAATCGCTTTGAAGTAAAATAATCTCAAAATACTATTCGGGGTCTTGTAAAGCAAGGTTTAAATTTTGATTTAGATACTTGGCGACCTCAAAAATTATAATTCTTAACCGAGTTTTTAGGCATTGAATATACCAGCTTTTCAGACATCAAATCACTTATAATATTCTAAGCTGGTCAGCTTCAGAGAAAAGTTAATGGATTCTTTTTTTGTTCTGCATGCTCCAAAGAAACCTGAACAAAAAATTGTCCGGGCAAAAAAATTATAATTAAAACAAAGGTTAAACAAAGTTGATCTGGGTCATTGTGCGGGCATATTCAATGCTCACAACTTTATTAAAAAATTATAAGTTTTGGGATCGCCCAATCCCTAAATTAAAGTTTACGCCTTGTTCTACAAGACTTTGAAAAGTATTTTGAGATTAGTTTATTTTAAAGCGATTTGAGCCTTGTTTTTCAGGGCAAAATTGGCGGACTTTTGGTTTTCGCAGCCTGTACATATTTACAGCTAAAGAAATACTTGTGGGAAAAGTAATAATTTGCTAATAAACAATATTTGAATGAACTTATCGAAAATCCCCAAGGTATTTCTTGTTCATGTGTTGCGTTTAAAGTTTTGAAATGCATCATAGACATGAAAATGCGTGTCCATTCAGTACAAGTGTTGACTCAACACGAACGAAATATTGATTAGAAATGCTTCTACCTGAACATACATGCCTTAAAATGACATCTGTTAGTATATTTGAGGATATACAATTGAAAAGGTGCTTTCCCAGGTGTCATTTCAGAGTAGTCCGACGCGCTGTGAGAAGAGCTCGCAATTACAAGAAAACAATACTTTTAGGTATGAAATATCTTCCCTCATATTCTAAAAGTCGTCAAGTATTTTTTGAGCCAATTAAAAAATCGATGTTATGAAAAAATCACACAGGTGTTACCCCTTAACCAGTTTGCACTACAAACCTAATATCACAATTTCTTTATCCTTGTAATTTTCTTTTCCTCTAGCCATGAGAGTTTCAGTGTAAATCAAATCTGATTCTCCTATATCTGTAAGGAAACGTGATCAATTAGTCCAATTAAATTTAACTCGGACCAGTTTATAGTTCATGTGACTCGATCTTTCAATTATTGCAACTAATGGTTGAGGCCCATTAGAAACATATGTCATAAGCAATTCTTAAATATACGTATACATCTGATGATAAATGTAATTAACAAAATATTCTACTGGCATACGTTTTACAAAAATATTTACTATTTCTCGACAGAGACTGATAAGTTTTGTGACAATCAGATCGGAGCTGCTCCTTCTAAATAAATCAAATTCATGCCGATTGTCAAAGGCATGTTTGACTAACGCGATCGACATATTTTTGAAATAAAAATGATATGTCCACCGCGTCAGCCATTATATATATATTTGTGGGTAATTTTAAAATCATTTTTTATCAATGTAATCTTGTAGATACTTAATAATGTCGTTCAATAACTTACTTTGGAGATCATCTAGCACCAATATATTACCCAGACTTTTCGAATGCACTATTTGTACTTTCTGATATGGTGATGTTTCTTCAAATAAAACCTTGTCAATGTCGTACTCCAACAATCTTTCATCTGTAATTTGCAGAATAATTATATTTGAGTTCAGCATTATTATTCCAAAATAAGCAGAAACACACACAAATGACACTGAAAGCATTTTTGTCATAGCTACGCCAAACAGTGTTGCATTTTGTAGCGGCAAATAAAGTATATGTTGAATTCAAATGAAAGTCAAGAAATCAAGCAAAACATGGCGGTGATAATGATCTGAACGAAGCGAATGACAGAATAAACACACTTTTATAATGATCAATAAAAAAAAAGTTTTTTAAAGCGTACTGAAACTAAATATGAGTAATGTTCTCAACTAATTAAAATGTACGCTAATCAAGTACAGCTGATACTATATGCAATTTCTATGAAAAACATACATTATAGTTTCATCCTAAGGGAGGGGGGTAATCAATGAATATTAATGATATCAGACCATTATATGAATATGTTCATTCGAATGAAGCTATTATGAATTTGGATACAACAGAGCACATGAAAACAAACCTGATGACACGAAATAGGTACTGAATGTGCCCCGTTTGAAGAAAGGGAACGCCTGAGCTTTTCTAACGCTGACCATTTTCTCGCTCACGTCCTGTTTCATTTCCTTACATCGCTATAACACACGTCACCATGCCATATTGCCATCAAACACTGGATGAATTTGATAAAACAATTTCAGAAAATTTCAAATATCGTTTTCTAGTTTTGTCCAATTCATTGCCTAAATACTGCCAATTCAAAACAAGTCAAGCAGTACAGTATGTTAGCAAGGATGCTATACAGGCTCGGTAATGTACCCCATCGTTGTCGTTGCCGATTATGCTCCCTATCGTGTTTAAGCTTGTAACATACTGTATAAAAATCAGCCTAGTATTTCGTGGTTTATTTACAATATTCATTGCTACCGGAAGTTACATGTCCAGTACAGTTCATGAAGAATTAAGAAAATACAGTACTTTTCAGAAAGGTACCCCCTTCTGTTTTCTTTAACGGGACAAGTAAGCAAGCTGAAATTCCGGAGGATCAAATTGACACATTAATACATCAACGTAAAAATAACATGTTCAACTTTCATAAAATGAAAAAGAGACTTCTAGCAAATTATAGTTTGTCTTTGGAAAATCAGTACAAGGATTATCGTAATAAACTAAATAAATTAATACACAAAGAATAATCACTATAGAATGCAAATTGAAACAAATAAAAATAACATGAAAAAACTGCATGACGTCATAAAGGATGCAACGTACGAAAAGAGTTACAAAGGTGAATCTTATATATCTATAAATGATAATGATGGCAACCAGTTTACTGATTCTATTGAAATGATAAATTTTTGTAACGAACATTTTATTGATGTGGGTGTTAACATGGCGCGGACAATTCCCACGCCTCAATCTAAGTGTAAATTAGCGCACCCCGTCAAGAATTCTATTTTCTTAAGTCCCACAAGGAATTAACTAGTAAAACACATCGCATCTTTGAAAAGTAATAGTGCTCCTGGCTATGATGGCATACAGGTTGAAACTATAAAGCAAACTCATTTTGAAATTTTAACACCTTTGTTACATATTTACAATTTAATTTTGCTAACTGGAATTATCCCAAAAGAGTTTAAAACGTCAATAGTTATCCCGATGCATAAATCAGGGGATACTACATCCATTGGAAATTACAGGCCTATAAGTTTAATAACAAATTTTGCAAAGTTATTTGAAAAATGTCTTAAAACTCGATGAATGGATTTTTTTAAAGCTAATAATGTATTATCAGATAATCAATTCGGGTTTCTGGAGGGTTACAGTGCAGTGGATGCTATGCAGAAATTAATAACTGAGATTATCAATAATCTGAATAATGGGAACAAGAGTATTGCTGTTTTTTTGGACCTTGCCAAGGCTTTCGACACAGTTCCTCATGATAAGCTAAACGAAATTCTTCACAGCAATGGTATAAGGGGAGTGGCTTATGATTTACTGAGGGATTATCTTTCAAACAGACCACAACTGCTAAAACTAAATAACATAACAAGCAATGAAAAAATAATAAAGATTGGTGTTCCGCAGGGTACTGTTTTGGGACCGCTCCTTTTTATACTTTATATCAATAAGATGCTAAAGCTGGACACGAGGGGTTTAACTATTTCTTATGCTGATGATACTGTACTTCTCTTTGCAGGTTCTCGTTGGGAGAATGTAAAGTGTAAAACAGTGTATGGTAAAAGACTGGTTACAAGAGAGTAAACTAACATTGAATTTATCTAAGACAAACTATATTGCGTTTTCGTTGACCAATAAAAACAGACCAAATTATGTTGGATGATAATTATTCTGTTCAGGAAGTGTCTCAAACTAAATACCTTCGAATCATTATTGACCAACATTTAAAGTGGCAGCCGCATGTTGATTATGTATCGAATAGAGTTAGAAAATTAATCCGTAAATTTTATCTACTGCGTGACTTTCTCGATAAAAAAAAATTAATAACAGTTTATAAAGCATTTGTTGAATCTATAATTAGATATGGGATATTTGTATGGGGGGGATTGTATAATAATGCTCTACATAAACTCATTATTATTCAGAAATATATTATTAAAATTATTTTTAAGAAAGATAAAAGATTCCCCACTAAGTAATAAACTTTTTACAAAGGATGTGTGTAATATTAGATCCTTGTACGTGATGACAGTATCTACTTTTATTGATAGAAATGAAAAACTACAGAAACAGTCATAACTACTGTACTCAGGCAAATAGAAATTCCGAAGAATAACAATAACCTAAACTTAAGATACATAACGTATAACGTATATAGGACCAAAGATATATAACATTCTGCCAGAACGCTTGAAAAAGTTGAAAAATATTAAAACATTTAGCACCACCTGCAGAGAATATATTTTTGAGAATACTGCACAATTTGAAAGGTTTTTCTAATGATTTTTTGTATCATAGTATGATTGAACTATTGTTCGGGATATTGAGGTTGATTATTTTTTTTTTATAGTTTTTTTTTATTGTATTTTATAATCCAATAAATAGCATTTTCTTTTCTTTTGTAAGTCCGGATGATGAAAGCACATACAGGTGGTTTGAACCATCTAGGTGTATCTTTCTGTCATCAGGATGTCCTTGATTAAGAGGAATTATATTGTTGTGTTATATATTTATGTGTATTTATAATTTTTTGTATATGGTCTTTGTTGGATATTATTATTAAATAAATAAAATAAAAATAAATTCAAGATGGCGGCTGGCATTTTTTAAATAGAATGGGGACGGATGTGATACCTTATTTTGAAACTCCTTATGATTTTACAACCCTAGAATATCAAGTCATTATCCTTCAAAATGAGGGACTAGTAGGCTGTCAAAGTTGAGCGTTTTTGTACTTTGAATCATTTATAACTCAACATCTGATCATCAAAATGTATCAATATTCTGCTTTTGAAACGGCTATCTGAAAGTGCAATGAAATATGCGATGTTCGGATTAAAAAAGTTTCAGAATTTGATAATTCTGTTAAATGGAATTTTCGATATTTTATTACAATATTAGCATAGGCACTATCAGAGAAGAAGATTAATATGGCATACTATAGCGTTTCAAAGTTTGGTTGTTGAGTTATAAGCAAATCAATGTACAAAATACCGAACTTTGACAGCCTGCCAGCTCGCCATTTTGAAATACAGTGATTTTATATTGACCGCGCATTCTATTTAAAAAATGATCCAAAATCGCGTCCAGCCGAAAGCCTGAAATTCAACTTTATTATCCAGAATTTTGGCTTGCTTACTTGAACTGTTCAAAAAAGGGGGAACCTTTGTGAAAAACACTGTAGATGGGATGATCCCAAAAACTTTGAACTATTCTCTAGAGTTTAGATGATACTGATACACTCACAATCTGACTGTACATGTTAGAGCTAGGACTCCTATACATTGTCTGTCCTAATGACAATGAAATGGGTTACCATGAATAAAATAAAGTAATATATGAGGAAAACGCTACAACAGTCGAGGATGTTTTTGAAATATGTTTCAGGAATACTTCAAAACAGTCTCACTAGACCCCAAAATCGATAAGAATAAACAATGTACAAATATTTTAGAGCCGACGGAAAAAGTAGGTTCGTACGTGTTATGGCTGGCAGTCGAGTATGCAAAGTTTAAGCACCGATTAACAATTAATTGTACCTGTACCTAAGGCCCGTATCGTCAGTCGTCCCTACAATTGTAGGGCACCTTCATGGCCTCCTTGATTGTCATAGTTTTCTACTTCTCCCTGTCAGCGCTCTATTTTGAGGTTATGTCACAAACATCTATTTGCATCAAATTGTGCTTGCTTTTGAGTTATATCATGTTTTATCAGCCTGAAATTTCCTACAAAATTAAAAAGAAAACATATCTTCACAATAGGAGAGCGCTGACGCTGACACGGGACAAGTGTAATCTAGAAATTTTTGAAGGAGAGAAAGGAGTATGACAATTAAGGAGGCCATAAACGCGCCCTACAATTGTAGGGACGACTGACGATACGGGCCTAAAGATAGCCAGCCCAATATTATATTCCAGAGACAAAAAATTATCTGTGATGAAATGAGATACCATAGTGTTATCTATGAGAATAAGTCTCAGCTATGTTGTTCCTCTACGCACCAGTTCGACTAATTAGAAACCTACTTTGAAAAGGTTAAAATATATGTTATATGCTAATTTAGTAGTGCCATCAATGAGACACTAACCTTTTCAAAATAGATTTCTAATTAGTATGGAGAGGAGAAACATAGCTGTTTCAAATTCGCATAGATTTATAACTAGCAAGAACGTCCGTCAAAGTAAACTGCTCTGGTTGTATAAAATATCGCGTCGCTATCGAAATTCTGGCACGTTTCAATAGTGTCACGCTGATCAAGTGACTTGCTAGCACCTTTCTATTGGCATAAAATAGAATAAAAACAAAATAGCCTTGATTGATCTGAAGGTAGGGGTATTATGTAACTTTGAAAAGTTTGACTAAGTACAAATTTTTTGACACTATGTATAAATTTTGTGATATTACATTAGATTTCTGACATAATGTCATATTCTTCCTACTAAAGGTCAACTTGAAACTAACTGTCGTTGACTTCATGTCCTCTTAAGTATTAGCAGTATGCATTAAATGATCACTAGCTGCTACCTCATATGACCTAGTGACAATTTGACATTATGTTAAATTTTTTTGACAGTAAGTAAGATTTTTACAAAACACCCCCGCGGATCAAAAAACCAAGTAAGGCTAGCAGCTTGATTGATCCGGCTCGAAGGAACAAAGGATGTTATTGATGAGGCTGCTGATAATGTTGCCAGTTTTTGGCGGAAAGTGAACTGTGACGCAAACTAGTAGTCGTGCAACTCAGTCCTACCCAAAGATGCACATGTGTACTGGCAATAACTTTCATAGATAAGAAAGCTCCAGATACAAACTTAGACTCGCTACATAACTACTGTAGAAAATAATCTTGAAAAACGGTATTGATTATTTAAAAAAATAAATTTTTAGTATTTACTCCTACACCTTAAAATTGTTTTCATGAAACCTTTTTACACCATATGTCTAACTTTTCGAACGACTGTCTACCGGAGGATTGATATTCAAACATACAAATCAGTTTCCAAAGGCTCTGTTTCAAGTATTCCTGAAAAAGGAGAGTCTAACGCCTTTTATTCTGAACAGAAGTAATCTAAAACATAAAATCAAAGATGTGTGCATCTATAGCAGCCCATATAAAGAAGGTCAAAGGGGTGCATGAAAATAGTAGAATGGACAAAAAGAGAAACCGGCCGCTAACCTGAGCTCGACAGGTAGACGTCGAGCAGACCCCCCCTTTTAATTGGGGGGAACATTTTTGATCTGAAAGAGGCCAACTGCACCTGCAATTTTTGCTCTAATACTTTGATCAGCTGGAACAAACATAGTCAGTGCCAGGTGGAGGTCTCTGTAATGCTAATATCAACTGCATTTTTGGATCTGCTTTATGAATCTATAGTGTATGTCCAGCATATCTAATATGATACAGTCACGCCACTAACGACGAGATGCGGAGGTTGCGCATCACTTAATACGCATCCGTCTTATTGTACACAGCATCCCAGCAGCACAGATTCACTGCTGAGAAGTACACACTATTCAAAAAAGTATTTTGAGATTGACTACTCAGTCAGCCATCAGGCATGATTGCGTGTGCGCTAACTTTTAAAGGTAACAAAAATGTCTTCAATAACTCAGTGTATTTTTCAGGAAGATGCAATGCAGTATTGTATAAAAGTTGCTGTGGTATTTGTGCACTGGTATATGCATATCTTTTGGCAAACTTAAACTTTACTGTGCCTATGTTGAATTGTAGGAACTGCACTTAATTTTATATACTGAAAGTTTTTACAAATATCATGCTAGCATCCCCTTCATATAGATTATCTAAATGCTTTAACAAGGTTAGCTATCTCCTTGACTTTGGTATGAGTGAACATATATACAGAGAAACCCTCGCTGATGAGGTAATGTGTATGAGAAAGAAGTGCAGAAAGGGTACAATATATATGCTAGAAAGAGTGTGCTAATGGTAATGCGGCAAGCTGCAGCTGCGTCTGTGGCCTCTAGGAGATGTGGTGCCTCTATTTCTTTCTAACATACATATTGCACACTTCTTGCGCTTCTCTCTTGTACACATTATGTCATTAGTTTATGGATTCTCTGTACAAAAGAAGAATATTATCATATTTAAAGACTGTTCAATTATGCAAACCTTTGTTAGCTTTTCAGTACCTTTTAGTATGCATATTTATGTATTTTAGGAGTAGAATGAATGTTCAATGTAATAATTTTTGTGTGCTAGTACTGCACTAATGGGGCTTTGTGTTGGATTTCTGATAGACACACACATAGGGTTTTTGAAGTATCATTAATCAATGATACTATTTTTTGTAGGTGTGATTATTTGTCTTTCATCCCTTGTATAGTGTTTCTCTGTAATTGGATCTTGTATCTGTTGATAAATAATTATATGAGTTAGACATCAAAAATAAAAAAGATTAGCTATCTTGAACTTGACAATCTGAAACTGCAAAAGGATCATTAAATCAGATGTCAATATTTTGAAGTCAAATGAAGATTTTGTGAATTTGTTCCACCAGGATATCTTTCACCAATGATTGGCCCTTCTGGGGAAAAATTCCTCGGGGCACAAATGGTGAAACATCAGTGTTTTACTGTGAAACATTGTACAACAAATTATATTATTTGATCACATTATGGAAGAGCTTTACCAAATAAAGGCATCTATAATCTACAAAAAAAAAATGTTATGGATCTTTAATTATGAAGCACTAGGTTTGACAAGAAGTATACCACAAAAACATTACTGCAATAAGGTATACCTATAAAAGATTAGAGCTACACTCCCAAACTGGTTTAGAAAATGTGAATGAGAAGACAAAGTGCCTAGAAATGATTTAGTGCCGAGCACTATTGCGTTACTCCAGTAACTCAACTGGGTTATTGGAAAGTAGCTCAGAATGGAGCCGTAAAAGATTATAATGTAGTTGACATCAACGTTACTTTATATTATTATGAGAAGTATCTTTTCCTAACCTATCAGTCTAGTAAAACCTTACCTCAAATGTGAGCAAAGGATTATCTTTGTCCCCCTTAAAATACTCCATGTTGATGGTGATCAAACCATTACCGTAAATTCTAATAAATACAGTAACACCAGGATCTGCTGTGTACAATCTCAATAATCCCCCCTGGAAGGGTAAGCCTTGTACTTGCTTGAGACTCGTCAGATAGTCTTTCAGGACGTTTTCGATATTTGTGGCCACCACTTGCATTTGATTGTCGTTTTTCACAGCAGCCGGCTCTACCGAAAAGTCTAATAGGATGGTATTTGCAGCCATTTCAGAGCCCAAACAAGTTGGAATTTGCCGGTACGGTGATTTGAATTTTACGTAATGTGTAATAATCGTTACTCATCGACCACACCACATTCCACTAGGGGATTGGCAGTTTTAAAACATTTTGATAAGGTTTAGTAGATTAATTTGATAGGTGCCTGACATAGAACGATAAACGAGAAAAAGAATGCAAGTGCTACCAATCTTACAAAATAAAACAGCAGTGCCGCGTAAAGCTAGCCACACATATTTCATGTTAGGCATGACGGCATTCTTATTGTACAAAAATTTCGCCTTGTGATATGTTCACACCTCATTTACTCCATGTCGAAATAAACATGAGCACTCGATCGTCGTTTCTACTCGCTTGTCGCTGCATGCCTAGACATTTATGCCAGACTATAGGTTTTCCTACAAAGCGTCAACTTGGAACTAGCTGTCGTTCACTTCACTTGTGCCAAACGCGGAATGAGCTATTTCCGCAAAGTATTTAGTCAACAAGTTGACATTATATCGGTTTCTTTAACATTATATGGGTTTTTTACGTATTAGCCCTACTGATTCATGCAAGTCTGAAACATCGGATTTGTGTACATGTAACGGAATGACACCGAAACCATCGGTCATGATGTTAGCAACTGTACTGCGAGATTGTCTTTTATGTTTTACCTCGAATATGAATGAAGTTGCGAAAGAAAATTTTCGAAGAATGATGAATATAATTTTATTGAAAAAAATAAAACCAGTTAACGGCTAGTAAGGCCCGTATCGTCAGTCGTCCCTACAATTGTAGGGCGCGTTTATGGCCTCCTTGATTGTCATACTCCTTTCTCTCCTTCAAAAATTTCTAGATTATACTTGTCCCGTGTCAGCGTCATCGCTTTCCTATTGTGAAGATATGTTTTCTTTTTAAATTGTAGGATATTTCAGGTTGATAAAACATGATATAACTCAAAAGCAAGCACAATTTGATGCAAATAGATCTTTGAGACATAACCTCAAAATAGAGTTCTGTCACGGAGAAGTAGAAAACTACGACAATCAAGGAGGCCATAAAGGCGCCCTACAATTGTAGGGACGACTGACGATACGGGCCAAAAGTACTCAAAAAATGTGTTTTTTGTGTTTCATATTTCTTATCGACTGTACTAATTAATTTCAGCTTTTTAAGCAGTGACGTTAATGTACAATGTCTAAATTTAAACGAAGTTCGAAAGTATAATGAAGTTGGTCATAAAATAATTCTATACGTGCCTCGCTTGAGGAAATCATTATTGTCCTCTGCTCCCTCGTACCTTAGGCAAAAGCTTGTGTATAGGAATTTGATTCACAATTTGAATAAGCGCAACAACCATCTCCTCACATTGCCACAATATAGGACAGCCTTATTTCAACGTACAATGCGGTGAAGTTGATTAATTCCTTTGATCAAAACTTTATTAGCAACTTTTACAAAAAACCTATAAGATCTGTTTATTAAATGCTTAATTGTTTTTTTTTCTCTCCAATATAAATTATGCCGACTAGAGGATATACTTCTGGATAACTTTTGTCAATTTCGGGTTATTTTCCTAAGTTTTAGATTTAGCCTTTTACAATAAAATCAATTGAATTGAATAGTCCTAGCACAATATATCCATCGATGCTACATATAAAAGTGCTCCGTCAAAAATGCGTACTTCTTAAACTTGGCTAGGTACAAAATGTGCTATTAGGTGGGGTAATAGTAATAATAATTGGTTTACTTTTAGGTTCTTGATACGCCACTGTCTACACTCCGTCTATCTAACTGTTCCGTGTCATCGCTATCAAGTACATAACCTAGAATCAGATTTGAATCTGACTCTGACAACAAATAATAAACACATATACTCACTTCACTAGTACAATAATCCTTAGTTTTAAGTAATAATGTGTAACGACATTCACACAAAATCAATTTAGTTTTTGAGTAATAGTCGAAATACATTATGAAAAACAAAAAGAAACGTGATACTTTCAAAATAACATACATATATTTAGCTGTTTTGCGGATAGTTTTGGTGTTTGTGCCCCAACTTGGATACATTCATCCTGATGAGTTCTTTCAGTCTGTGGAAGTCTTAATAGGTAAGTAAAAAAAAATGTGACCTCGCCCATGTTTATATAGGTTGTTTAAACTTCATATAGTGTTAATAATGCCAATTTTAATTACAACTGGCAGCATTTATACAAAGTAGGTTCTGAACAAAGCCATCGCTCAGGGTAAAAACGCTCTAGAGACATTGACAATGATAATTAAAATTATTTTTTCTTGGGTATAGTGAGCGTTGCACAACTCAAAAGACTGAGAGACTTTAGGTTCAGATACATCAGAAGCACAAAGATTGAGTATGAAGGAACTGTTATTATTGGTTATATGTTTAACCTGTCACTGCAACTGCAAAACATTTTTCAATTACCCTTTGAGTGATGGGCCATTTACTTGATGAATGCATTCAACTTTCAGGAAAATTTTTGGCAGTGGAAAACAGTCCACCATGGGAATTCGACTCAGCTTTCCCTATAAGAAGCATGACAGTACCTTACTTCACTATAGGAATGTGCATAAAGTTCCTCAGAGATATTAGCAATCTAGGCAAAGCATATTCACCAAATTTTACACTCCTGACACCCTATTCTCTGTTAGTTGCACCTAGAGCTATCATGTGTATTTTCTCATATGCAGTAGATTTTTGTTTGTATAAAATTTGTTCCAACAACAATGAAAACTATAAATCAAGGTTAATTATACTCTCTAGTTCATATCTCATGTTAGTTTATGGCACAAGGACATTCTCAAATAGCATAGAACTTTATTTGTTTGCAGGTCTGCTATATTTTGTGAGTGAGAGCATGACATTTTCAAATATTTTGTTGAGAAAAAAGGAGTATCTTAATTTTAGATATGAGAAAAGTAAAACTGTAGTTGAAAAAGCTAAGTTTCATAAATTGAAGCTCTTTATGGCCTCAGATTCTTACAGAAATTGCTTTTATATCAGCACAATAACAGTAATAGGCTTCTTCAATAGGCCTACTTTTCTAGCATTTGCAGTTATTCCAATATTTTTTTGGTTGTACAGAGGTATTGGCAGTAAAACTGTCACTGTACTACAATTCCATTCTAGAATACTGGTTTTAATATCATGTGCTATTCCAACCATACTATTCTGTATCATAATTGATTCCTTTTACTATTGTTATATAACTTGGGGTGAAATTGGTGTCCTAGATGTTTCAATCAATAATTTTGTATTCACCCCATTGAATTTTGTCAGATACAATATTGATCCTAAGAATCTAGCCAAGCATGGTTTACATCCAAGGTATTTGCATCTTTTGGTAAATGTGCCTTTGCTTTATAATATTTTGGGACTTTGTGCTATGGAGACCATCATCAGGTACATCTATCTGTAAGTACACTTACTATAGCCTACAGAATGTAAGTATAACAAATGGATTAGAGTCCAACCAAAGTATGATGATTTCAGAAATTATTGGTACATTTTTGAAAATAATTTAAATTATAAAATATGTACAAGTTCATACATTATGATATATCAATATGGTAACATAAAACATTCCTTCAATTAAACTATTTAATTTAACTCAGTTTGTACCTCTTTCTCTTCTCATTTTCGAGATCACAATTATATTATTAGGAGTTATACATTATTTTTATTCCTACTTTTATTAAATTATCATAAGTTTTTTACAATTTTAACACCATGCAATAAAACTGAAGTAACAACCCACAAGAGACAACCAAGAATACAAAAGTTCATTATTCTATCACTTTATGATGCAACCTACATTTTTCATTTACTCAATATTCGATTTTGGCTTGGCCAAAGGTTTTGCTGGAGGCCTAACATCGGCTTCGGCAAAAAAATTGAGTCGGATCCTAGCTAAGATTCCTACCACTTCAGAATATCTCTTTAGTCATAACGCGCCTCAAGACAAAACACCGGAAAGCTATAGTTTTTTTATGTACCTATTGTTATTGTTTTAAGCCCTGTTCGTACAGCTGTCGCCAATCTGTCAGTGATCGTGTCCCACCACACAAATTCCGTGCATTGTGATACGTTATATAGATGGAATTCTCACGGCCGGATCCCAGACACTGTCTTCGACCACTGTATGGACAAGCCAATAATTTCTCTTCATTGCACGACATTTCGGCACCCTCGGTGGCCTTTTCAAGTACACCGTGCTGACCGTACAATAAAGGGAAATTAAAACATACATATGGTTTTATTCAGCCAGAAAATGAAGTCTTATGAACATGAAAAGTGCAGGATAAGTTTTAGGAGTTTCAGTGTCTGTTTTAGATTCTTTTTATATTCATTGTAAATGAAGGCATCATGACTCTTACTTTAAAGACTTTAAGATTCTATTTACTGAAAACGCTAATTTGCAGGTGCTACAGAAAAAAATTCAACCACCTCCCAACAGTACGCAGCATCAAATGTCTAATGATCTTTTCTGTAATCTCTCCATTAGCCCTTCTGTCAATCTTCCCTCATCAAGAGCCCCGCTTCCTGATTCCTCTTATTGTTCCTCTAGTCTACCTTCATTCCCACTTTTTGCTTCCCGAACCAGAAAGTTCGATCATCGAGGCTCCAAGGATTCACCCAGCGCATTCTCCAAAATCAACGCCTCCAACGTATCGTGCGCTCAAGTTTTGGATTATCTTGAATGCGGTTTTTACTCTTTTTTATGGTTTTGTGCATCAAGGAGGTGTAATACAGGCTACCTCCTACTTAGCTCAAGATATGGGAGTGACAGCAAAGACCACTGAATTTCATGTAGTGACTAGTCACATATATTCACTGCCTGAATCTTTTTTTATGCAACCGTCTACTAGTAAGCTTTATAAAAAGGGTAAAAAACAGTTTAGTGTAGCAAAGAGGGTTTATTTATATGAACAAGGATCTCAGGATTTGGATTATGTCTTACTTCTTTTAAATACCATCGTAACTGGTTTAGATGCAAGTCCGAGAAAAAAAGCTAATGTATATTTACTGATATCTAGTAGTTTAGAAGATAAATTGAGGCACTTAATTGGTAAACAATATTTAAACTTCTTTCTAGTAGAAAGTTTTTATCCACACTTGAGTCTAGAGTCATTCCCAGATTTGGGGAGGTACTGTACCGAGATAACAGAGGTGTTTTATAGCAAATGTGTTGTTTCATCTAGCAGCCAGTATTTTTGGCAGATTTTGCAATCATTTGGTTTGAATCTCTATCAAGTAACATTGAACAAATTTTAAATTTTTATAGTTATGGCTCTTATAGAGCTCGAATATGTAATCTCTCATATTTTGACACGTTTTTCTAGAATTCATGGTTGTCTGGAGATTTGTTTTGATATTTAAATAAGAATATAAGAGTAGCCTTTGTTGGGCTACCATGTAAAACAGCATGTATAACTTAGGTAGTTCTATACTGTGTAAAAATTTCAATCGAAACAACTTTGATTGTAATTAATATTCAAATACGAGGGATTTGCGAAACTTATACATTCTCAGATAGATGCAATAATAATATTTAGTTAAGTTATTTTATTCTAATGTGGAACTGTGATCATTACATCTGAGCATTATTTTTTTTATAATTTATAGAACTCAGTGGGAATAACTATTGTCAAATGTCTAAAAGAATTTGGAACATTTCTTGTAGACAAAATGAATTTCTATATAGTCAGTTCAATGCTACGTAAATCTGATTTTTGATAGTTTATTACTGTTCAATCTCACTCTGCAATGTTATTTTTCTTTCACTGATCAGTGCTTCAGTAAAACATTTTTTCCGTTATATAACTTCTGTATATCAAACAAATTTTATATTATACATTCCCTAATAAAATATTATTTACATGTTGGCATTTCATGTTGTCTTCTTTAAAAAAAAGCAGTCTTATGTACCAAGTATTAGAGGATAAACATTGGACAAGCTGTGTAAACAACCTTTAAGCCATCCACGAAATTCTTTTTTTTATTACTACTTTACTATTGCTATACCATTCCTTTTTATTGATCTCAGAGCTTTACTTCGGAATACTGGTTTGTTGCTGTTAAATTTTATATTATACATTTCTTAAAAAATATTATTTACAACATGTTTTCGTTTTATTTTGACTTCTTTTCAAAAAAATAGTTATGTACAAAATATTAGTGAGAAATATTGGACAAGCTGCGTTTATAACCTGTAAGGTAACAATGAAATCTTTTTTTTATTATTTATCGTTCAAATCTCCGACTTAATTATTTGGGTGACGGCTTGGGTTATAATGATTTGTGACTCCAGGAAGCATTGCATTCTCAAAATGCTATTGTTTGGAGCGGATTCTAAACCGGCAATGCCATCGTTTCGGGCAGAGAGTGATGCGACGTGTATTGATGTAACATTTCGTCCCTTTAGATCAGAACTAGCCTATGTCCATTTTTGTCAAAATTGAGATTTTAGACTATATGATGCAGTAAGGTGTCGCCTATCAAGTGCAGTACTAATCTAAGTCCTAACGTTTATATTTTTCACGTACTCATTAAATTAAGAATAAGCCTATGTCCTGAAGCAAAATAATTGTTAGTGCAGAACTATCCTTTTTTAGAACAGAAATTCTATGTCCATATTTGGGTAAATAATTTTTAATGCAGAAGTATCCTTTGTTGGGACAGATTACCTATACTAGTGAATTGTGTGGACTTAAGCTAGTTCTACTTTGAAACAAAATTTTATGTCCAAGAAAATGTGGACTTAGGCTTATTCTGATCTATAATTTTAATAAACCCTCACATCTTTTAGTGGACATAAACTAGTTCTGCACTGTACTGGTTTCGATTTGTTAGAAATCTAGGCATTTCAAGGCGCCACCGTACACGAATAACGCAGATTACCTCAGTTTAAAGCAGTTCTTAGTGTATAGTGATCGAGTTTGCGCAACGTAATCAAATTAAATATGAGTTCTAGAAGGAAAAAAATTTTTGATCTTCTGGCCAGGCACTGTGATGGTAAGTAGTGCTTTTCTAGCTATACAAATATTCTTAAGTAACACGTTAACATTGGAAATACGTTTTTAGCTACTGGTTCAGGATAAATTCTATTTATTTTTTTAAGCAAATCTTATGCCGCCTGGTTATTTACTCTCTAAGGAAACGGCTGCTTTTAACAAGAGCGATAATGCATTTTGCAGTATGAACCTCGAAAATATAAAATCAGTTTTGAGTATTGAATCCAATAAAGTTACACCGATTGTGGCCGATAAAGGAGACGCAAATGCTAGTGAAGAAGTAAGAAGTGTTCTCGAAAAAATCATAGGTAAGCAAACTAACGAGTAAAAAGAATCGACTATATTAAGCGGTGATCGATTGTTTTTTCTTGGAAGGTCACGTGACGTTAGAGTCAGGCCGTGCGACGTCGACGCGGTTTTCGCGGTTTTTTAGGAGGTTCGCGGTACGTTCGGAGGGAAAGAGGTACTGTTTCGGAAAGTAGACAGTCGGCGCTTTACGGGGGAGCGAGAGCCGTCGCGGCGAGACGAACGGATCGGATCGAAAACGGCCGGTAAAGTCGAAAAATCGACCGTTTTTCGGACGGTACGCGGCGTTATTTCACACTGGTTTCGCCGTTTATCGAAATATCGACTCGAGATCGGTCTCGTTCGATAGCTAAACGAAAAATACGTGCCTATTAGCTAAATCTGTTCGGTTCCGCGTTTCGGTTTTTTTTCTAGAAATGTTATAAAAAAATGCGACAAAAACGACGAATCGCCTGGAAAAGTACGATATCTCCCTTATGCCGAAGAGAAAAGGAATTTCGCGCACCACGTTTCGTACATCTCGGCGAGCGCTACAAATTATGCGGAGAGACGTTTTTTCGTTTACGGTACCCGTTTCGAATAAACGAACCTCGAACGTCGTCAAGAATGACTTTTTTGCGTATAAAGCGCGCTGCTTCGCCGTATATCAGCTATCTCCTCCGAAGATAAAGGAGCTACGAACCTGACGATTTTTGCGTGAGAAAGTCCATGCTTCGGACACTCTTTTAATACTATTTTCATCATTATTATTCGTTTACGTTGAAAAGTTTCGATTTTTTAAAAATTCCTCGACAATACGCTACTTTTCGACGCGTGAAAAAGTCATCTTGTCATCCGGCTCTGTCCTCGCTTATTACTACCGTACGTGAGCGAGTAAAAATTATACAGCTATCGAAAAATAACGATAATGAGCTGACGAAACGATTCTGACCGTCAGAATTACCGTCAAATTTCGAAAAAGTAAACTTTGAGCGCCTCAAAAGTACCGATGACAACCGTTTTTCGGCGTACTTTGTCTTCGTCGATACGGACCTGCGTTACGGAGCGACGTAGCTACGATTTTTTTTCGCAAAACGAAAGACCAAAGTCTCCTGATTAAACCGACATACGACACGTTACCCGATCGCATTTTTTAAACTCGGCAGATTAGAAAATTCAAAGATATGCACACATTTTTAGTTTGAAGTTTCAATTTTGAATTTCCCCTCCAGATCCCCGGATTCCTGTTAGGCGGGGTATTGTAGATACGATCGTATTACGAAAGCGAGCGAGTGCGAGCGGAACGTCAAAAACGTGCCATTTTCGGCTTCATGACTATCGCTTCATCCAATATTGGATCACGCCAAATAGATTTGTCCTTTTTTACGCGTGAAAATCAACATTTTCGAAAAGATTCAAAATTTTTATATTCCATTGTCTAAACGGACCGGACTAGAGCCATTAAAATCGGATGAATCTAGTAGTTTTTTTATGTTTACAGATTGCGATGTCTACCGCCAAAGGCTGCAATTATTCTTTGACGTTCATCAGTTTATTGAAATCATCATCGGTTTATAAATACGATAAAAATATGATTGTAAGCCCCTATTCATGTTATAATTTTACAATATGGCATAAAGCTCCGCTTTTCCAACCGATTGATATACAGCGTATGTCCGATTGCATCACCTCCGATTTCTAACCTACAACGTATATGAATGTAAACATTATCGAAATCTTAATAATGAGGCTCCCGTTAATAAGGATTAATTAGAAGCTTAGAACAAGCAATTGCAACTACAAATAGTGAGTGTTGTGAAGTGTTTAGTGTCCGTGCAGAAGTAGATATTTCTATGGCAAACGTAAGTTTGAATTTATCACTTGTTGATTTAACTTGAGTTAGGGTCTCTGTTCTCTAAACTAAATTAAACAATCATTCAAAATATGTAATAGTAGTGTCGAAGTACCCAACTACAAATTTGTCAGAATTAGAAGGTCTTCTTAAATTCTTAAACAACAGTTTCCTATTTCTAACCTACAACGTATATGAATGTAAACATTAGCGAAATCTTAATAATGAGGCTCCCGTTAATAAGGATTATTAATTAGAAGCTTAGAACAAGCAATCACAACTACAAATAGTGAAAGTGTTGTGAAATGTTTACAGTGTCCGTGCAGGAGTAGATATTTCTATGGCAAACGTGTTTGAATTTATCACTTGTTGATTTAACTTGAGTTAGGGTCTCTGTTCTCTTAACTAAACTAAACAATCATTCAAAATATGTAATAGTAGTGTCGAAGTACCCAACTACAAATTTGTCAGAATTAGAAGGTCTTCTTAAATTCTTAAACAACAGTTTTTAACTATATTTGAGAGTCATCATACAGATTTTTGTAGAAACGATGGATACATTACATGAAATGAAGAAACTCGCAGTGTTATTGAATTGCTTTGTGACTACTAAAGCTTATTTTTGCCAAAACAACAGACACTATTACTTGTCAAAAAAGAATGACCACAGGAGTGCTTGAACTGTTCAAAAAAGACATGAATGCCTGGTCGACTAATGCTGATGAAGTTTAGAAGCATACGCAAAGACCTAAATTGTAATTTTCAGTACCTAATTTGCTAGCATAGCTTCATCAGCTTTTTTCGTTTCTCTGTTCGCATAAGGACTAGGTTTTGAGTTGTAAATGATCTAAATACGAAACACACATACAGAATTAGAAGGTCTTCTTAAATTCTTAAACAACAGTTTTTAACTATATTTGAGAATCATCATACAGATTTTTGTAGAAACGATGGATACATTACATGAAATGAAGAAACTCACAGTGTTATTTAATTGCTTTGTGACTACTAAAGCTTATTTTTGCCAAAACAACAGACACTATTACTTGTCAAAAAAGAATGACCACAGGAGTGCTTGAACTGTTCAAAAAAGACATGAATGCCTGGTCGACTAATGCTGATGAAGTTTAGAAGCATACGCAAAGACCTAAATTGTAATTTTCAGTACCTAATTTGCTAGCATAGCTTCATCAGCTTTTTTCGTTTCTCTGTTCGCATAGGGACTAGGTTTGAGTTGTAAATGATCTAAATATGAAACACACATACAGAATTAGAAGGTCTTATTAAATTCTCAAACAACAGTTTGTAACTATATTTGAGAGGCATCATACAGATTTTTGTAGAAATGATGGATTCATTACATGAAATGAAGAAACTCACAGTGTTATTCAATTGGTTTGTGACTAGCAAAGCTTATTTTTACATGATATTTTATTGATTTGACAGTTGTGAATCTTCAATTAGCGAAAGTTCAACAGATCAAGTTACTCAGCCATTCAAGGGGATGTGCCATCAAGATAACATTCCTGATGTAAAGAGGTAAATGATCATTCTCATATCAAAGCAAATAAATATATTCAACTGAAGCTTGCAGAATTATGCAGAACTAGATACTTTATAGTAATATAATACTTGCTTTTTGTTTCAGGCTGAAATTTGATGACCTACCCAACATTTCTGGCTTGTCTACCAGTAAGTATTTTTGTTTTGAATATTAAATTACATGAAATATTTTATATAATTTAATATAATATAATTATATTATGATATTTTATTTTTATAGGTCAGCAACAGGAAAAAAGCATCAGTTTCCAATCTTGATCAAAGCTTTGGATCTTCTTCATCAACAATTAGCGTCTCAGAAACTGAGAACCAA